CCCTGTGACCTTGAATATGGGTGAAGGTCATTCATTTGAACAAACTTTGTAGCCTTTCATCTCAGCATGCTACTGGCTAAATATCATCACCCTGAGCATTTTGGTTATTGAGAAAGTGTTGTTTAAAGGTTTTTCAATACAATTGACCCCTGTGACCTTGAATATAATTGAAGGTCATTCATTTGAACAAACTTGGTAGCCCTTCACCCAAGCATGCTACTGGCCAAATATTATCTCCCTGGGCATTTTGGTTATTGAGAAGAAGATGTTTAAAGTTTTTGACATATTTGACCCCTGTGACCTTGAAAATAGGTGAAGGTCATTTATTTGAACAAACTTTGTAGCCCTTCATCCAAGTTTGCTTCTGGCCAAATATTGACACCCTAGGCCTTTCGGTTATTAAGAAGAAGTCGTTTAAAGTAAAATATTGATGCCGGACGCCGGACGGACGGACGACGGACGCCGCGCCACGGCATAAGCTCACTTGGCACTTCGTGCCAGGTGAGCTAAAAAGTGTTCTCCATCCCCATTTGGTTATGATCACACCATAATGCGTTTGACTTAATATTTAAAGTTTATACTGAAAAATATATTGAAAGTTGTAGAAATCTAAAAATGCCCCTCCTTAGAAAAAACACTGTTTTTAAAATACAGCAATGTCATAGAGAATAGGAACAAACTTTGTCCACTGAATGAAACTAAGAACACATGTGTAAAAGTTTTAGTTGTTATTTATTAACTCGTTCAGAATTCTCCATTCCTTTCACCTCACAAATGTCTACAGAAAACACCACACCAACTGTTAGGTCCCGGAGGTATCACAATAATCTAGACATTAGCAGATCTACTGTTGATTATAAAAATAAACATGGCAAATCAACATTTTCCAAACACATTTTAATATAAATATTCAAGTCCTTGTCAATTTTAACACTGACCTGATGATTGACCAGCAAATCTGACAAATCGTTCGTTTGCACACGAAGTAAATACAGGTGTCAACTTATGTGTACAGTGAAATAAGATACTATATGTTCACCCAAAGTTTTGATTTACTGTGGTATTAAAGTGAAACTTGCAAACCTTTTCATGAATAGTAACACTGCATTAATAACAAAACAAAAAACCTGTATGCTTGAATTTCAAGATTATAACACAAATAAAACAAAACATATGTAGCCCCTCAGGTTTGAAAGACCAAAAAGGGAAATAGTGTCAATATAAAGTAACATAAAATGTGTTACCTATCAACTAATGAACTTGATGATACCAAACCTTTCCTTGCCATATTTCGAAACTTGATGTTAAAAATTTACACAATCACTTCAAAACAAATGTTCGTATTCCATCACAGAAGTTGTTGCAGAATTCTTATCACACCCCTTCTCCTTATTCACTGTTTTTTCCTAATGTCTTGACACGTTAATCAGTTTTGCCTAATTTACTTTTCAGAGATGCGGGCATCTCTGGTGGTGGTGGGCGGGGCAGTCTGAAGTAGACCTTGACAGAATCGTAGATAAACCACTGCAGTGCAGTGAGGGTTCCAATCATGAGGATCCTGGGTCCGAGTCCCATCCATAATCCTGCAAAGACAAAGATTTCTGATGATCAGTAAATGTCACAAGAAAAACATCAGAAAATTTGGCATTTAAGATTCATAAAAATGTCCTGATGTTCTTTGCCATTTAAGATAAATAATATTCATCAAATAGAAATATATTTTCAAATCAAACCTGATATTTCACTGGTAAAAACATTTATCACAAGTTAAAAACATCTGTATTTAGTATCTGGACTGTCCAAGTCACAGGTCAAACTGACCACACACAAATGCCACGCGGAGTGGACAGTGTGGTCAGTGTAGGACCTGAGACTGAGGTATATTTATATCACACGCCAATGACTCAATCACCCTCGAAGCACAACCAACAAAGTTGCTGGACAACACAATACAGGGCCACACAGCAGTGCTGCCATGCAGGCCGGTCTTGAGTACATGTCCCAAGGGTGGATCTAAGGAGCGTGTTATTGTTGGCAATATATAGAGTGACGCATAAATGAAATCTTCAGAAAAAAAGGAAAATATCTTTTTGAACTATGTTACTTAAAATCAAACAAGGGACATATAAATCTAAAATAAATAAGTAAAACTTGGAAATCAAATTAATAAATCATCAATACATATATGGATAAGCAATGCTATTCAAGATTTCAAATAACATTCCAATATTTTCAAGTTCACAAAGACAAGAAATACCAAAACAATTTATATTATCTAACTCTCTTGCTAAATGATCTATTAAAAAGACTAATAAGACATAGGATGGACCAACTCCTCAGACACAACAATCTACCTCTTTAGTCCAACTATGAAACAAAACAAAGTTCTGGTTTTGACCTACCTCTCATGCCCAGTTGCTTGGCTACCTGGGCAGCTGTGCTTCCTTTAGCCTGGTTCAGTTTGGACACAATGGTGTCAGCAGGGTGAGACACAACGGCACAGAATACACCAGCTGAAACAAAGCACATATACAATGTTACTCAAAGAATAAATGATACGTTCGCTTTTGTACTGTTCATACCGGTGTCTTTTAGCAGAAATAAATTTATTCCAAAACTTGTTGGTGTGATATTTTTATGCAGGTAATTCCTCAAATATATCTGATGTTTTCTCGGTGAGAATGCAATCACCATCTAAACAACATAAGACAGGTCCATAGCGAGGCCATAACCTTCATTAATACAAAGTTGACACCCTCTCAGGTTAGAGACTTTTTCCATACTAAATTGGGTTAAAAACTGATCACCAATACTTTCAGAGATTCCTCCCCATATCCTTTATTTGGCCCCATCATTATACCCCAAACAGACCACATCGATGCTCTTTATCCTCCCCCACCCCCCTCCAAAAAAATCGTAAATCTATGTTCGACATCTTTTAAAAACGAGAATTCCACTGGAGTGGATGTGTCGTCTGCTCAGTGCTTTTAGCAAGAAAAGTGTTTTGGTTTGAGTTTAATATCGCGTAAACAGATATGCCAAAACGCGGAAAGTTGAAACTCGACAGAAAAACCCATAATATATGTTGAACATTATTGCTGCTAATATTACTGTACAAAATTTGAAAGGAATTGATTAAAAAAAATAGAAAAGATCTTGCATTTACTACACAATGCCCTTGTTTGGCAATAAAAGGGGCATAACGCCACCAAAAATGCATGTAAAGTTCTGAAATGGCTGAACTATATTGGTATGCAATATGTGTACCAAGTTTGAGTTCAATCAACCAAAGAGAACTCAAGTTATCGCACGGAAACCTTGTTTCGGACGACGCAACTGACACCGCCGCCACCGAAGTAATACCTATATGTCGCCGTCCAATAAACCCTATTTTCCTACAATTAAGCCCTGCCCCATCAGGGGTAGTAAAAACCCACTAGCCCGACGCCTGGGTCTACCAGATTTTCAGCTTGGGCTGGTGAAATTTAGAGGCTTACTAGCCCAGGGCTACTGACTTTTTTAGGATGTCATAGCAAACAAAAATGCCGCTGTTCTATTCTATCATAAGGGTAACCAATTAAAATTTTAACCCTGTAAATTCCAGGTAATTTCACTACAACAATTTCTATCAGAACACATGGAGTCATTCACGACGATGATGTAAGGCGTTCTGTTGCCTTTCACATGTGTATGTGTGATAGTAGGCACTGCTAACAACTTAAATAGCATTGAAAGTCTATATCAACCACCAAAATGGCACTCCTTGTTGCAAATCATTCTCTTTTACTTGACTTAAGCATGTGGAGTACAGAAATAAAGTTCATCTCTGCAAAAGTTGGCAAGTCCGCCATGTTTGTTTTTTATGCTTTCTAATAATTATGAAACCTGAATCCGGACTGATTTTCAGGAACAGTAAAAAACAGAAATTGTATTTTTTTTTTGGTTCAACTTTCAATAAATTTTAAGCCATTCAGTTATTGAATAAAAATACAAAATTACTTTCCATTTTTTGAGGGAAAAACATATCCATCTGTGAATGAGATATTGACCCTGTTATCATGTTTTCGGCTTGATCCATTTAGTATTTGTCGGGCTACCAGAATTTTATTTCGGGCTAGTGGATTGTTAGTATCTACTAGCCATGGGCTAGTAACCTCAACATTTTTTTTTACACCCCTGATCATACCAAATTAGACAAAAGTACCCTGCTCTTGCTTAAGGGTTAGATATTATAAGTTTTACTGCAATTTCTTGCCTTGGCGCCCTCCTATCAACCTCCTTTCTCAGGGCACCCTTTTCTTTACACACCATAGAGTCCCCCTTAGCCCGAGGATGCGTCACACCAAACCAAGTCAATATGTATTTGATCCAGTTGGCTTTAAAAATCAAAAGGTTCTAGTCTAGATTCTGTTCACAGTTCCATACCAATGTAGCCAGCTACAAATGTGACCATCAGTTGCTCGGTCTTGTTGCATTCACTCCTGGGTTTGGGCACAATATATTTGTACAGCGCCTCCACAGTCCTCTCAAAGCAGGCAAATTTCATCATTGTGTAGGGGATCTGTCTGCACCAAAGTGGTACAAGGCCCTTGTAGAAACTAAGGGGAAAAAATAAGGAAAACAAGTATTACTTTAAATGGCAAGCCGACTAACACTACAACATTTTTACGCATTAATCAGTAAAACCCAGACTTATAAACTAATAATCTAATATAGTGAGACAACAGATTTTCTGGTAGTGTAATAGGCCACTGATAATTTGAGACTGACCATGCCAGTCACCATCACCAGCCTGGACAGTGACATGATATCATCACTTGAGATCCTTCTGGTATCAGGAGAGTGTGATCACCTGATTATCATAGTTTGACTTTGCTGATTTCCATGATGCTGCAACACTACATCATTTCATAATAACAAAGTCTCTATCAAATTCCAATGATTTCTTGGGGTTTTCTCCACATAAAAGCTGATGTCTTATTGCTAAGATTTTGTAAGAACAGTATCATTCAATGTACACCAGGAAAAAAAAAAAGTTTCAAAATCAAACCCGATAACATCTGTATTCAGTATCTAGACTGTCCAAGTCACAGGTCAAACTGACCACACAGAATGGACAGTTTGGTCAGTGCAGGACCTGAGACTGAGGTATATTTATATCACACGCCAATGACTCAATCCCCCTCGACGTACAACCAACAAAGTTGCTGGACAACACAATACAGGGCCACACAGCAGTGCTGCCATGCAGGTCGGTCTTGAGCACATGTCCCAAGGGTGGATCTAAGGAGCGTGTTATAGAAGCACTTGTAAAATGGATATTGTGGATCCAACATGAATATTATATGGGAATTTTGTTCAACTGATTTGGAATTTTAATTCAGTTAGGCCAAAATAAAACATGTGTGTTTCCAGTTTCCCTACTGACCCTAGATTTTTGTGCCTACCCTCTAGTTTTTATTGGCATTTAGTGGTAAGGACTGTTAAAGTCAGAACTCCTGCCCAATATAATCATAGTAAAAATATTTTGTAAGAATAGTAGCATTCTCTGTACACCAGAAAGAAAAAAAACGTTTCCAAATCAAACCTGACAACATCTGTATTTAGTATCTGGACTGTCCAAGTCACAGGTCAAACTGACCACACACAAATGCCACACAGAGTGGACAGTGTGGTCAGTGTAGGACCTGAGACTGAGGTATATTTATATCACACGCCAATGACTCAATCACCCTCGACGTACAACCAACAAAGTTGCTGGACAACACAATACAGGGCCACACAGCAGTGCTGACATGCAGGCCGGTCTTGAGCACATGTCCCAAGGGTGGATCTAAGGAGCGGGTTATAGAAGCACTTGTAAAATGGATATTGTGGATCCAACATGAATATTATATGAGAATTTTGTTCAACTGATGTGGAATTTTAATTCAGTTAGGCCAAAATAAAACATGTGTTTCCGGTTTCTTTACAGACCCTAGATTTTTGTGCCTACCCTCTAGTTTTTATTGGCATTATTTAGTGGTAAGGACTGTTAAAGTCAGAACTCCTTCTCTATATAATCATAGTAAAAACATTTTGTAAGAATAGTAGCATTCTCTGTACACCAGAAAAAATAAACATTTCCAAATCAAATCTGACAACATCTGTATTTAGTATCAGGACTGTCCAAGTCACAGGTCAAACTGACCACACACAAATGCCACACGGAGTGGACAGTGTGGTCAGTGTAGGACCTGAGACTGAGGTATATTTATATCACACGCCAATGACTCAATCACCCTCGATGTACAACCAACAAAGTTGCTGGACAACACAATACAGGGCCACACAGCGGTGCTGCCATGCAGGTCGGTCTTGAGCACATGTCCCAAGGGTGGATCTAAGGAGCGTGTTATAGAAGCACTTGTAAAATGGATATTGTGGATCCAACATGAATATTATATGGGAATTTTGTTCAACTGATGTGGAATTTTAATTCAGTTAGGCCAAAATAAAACATGTGTGTTTCCGGTTTCTCTACTGACCCTAGATTTTTGTGCCTACCCTCTAGTTTTTATTGGCATTTAGTGGTAAGGACTGTTAAAGTCAGAACTCCTGCTCTATATAATCATAGTAAAAATATTTTGTAAGAATAGTAGCATTCTCTGTACACCAGAAGAAAAAAAAACGTTTCCAAATCAAATCTGACATCTGTATTTAGTATCTAGACTGTCCAAGTCACAGGTCAAACTGACCACACACAAATGCCACACAGAGTGGACAGTGTGGTCAGTGTAGGACCTGAGACTGAGGTATATTTATATCACACGCCAATGACTCAATCACCCTCGACGTACAACCAACAAAGTTGCTGGACAACACAATACAGGGCCACTCAGCAGTGCTGCCATGCAGGTCGGTCTTGAGCACATGTCCCAAGGGTGGATCTAAAGAGCGTGTTATAGAAGCACTTGTAAAATGGATATTGTGGATCCAACTGAACAGGAATGTTGTATGGGAATTTCGTTCAACTGATGTGGAATTTTAATTCAGTTAGGCCATAATAAAATATGTGTGTTTCCGGTTTCATATTTTTGTTGTTTTTATTGGCATTTAGTGGTAAGGACTAGGTAAAATACATAACACAATGAACTAATCATGTGTAAAAGGTCCTAAAAGCTTAGATGGAGGTGTTAGGACATTTTTTTTTATTTGAAATGTTCATAACCCAAGTTAGTGTTCCAGCTATGACATCTGAACAATAAATGGGACTTATTACATCACCCAAGAGCAAGGTTACACAGTATAGCACATCTGTCCAGGTAAGTCTTTTTCCATGCATGCCATATCAAACCATTTGAGCGTACAGAAGACTCGCAAAAAATTCTTCAGACAGAAAAGTTCCTCTGACACAGTGTTGGACACATTTCTCATGAATTTCAATCGGTCCAACAAAATTAACAAATTTTGGTCAGTATTTTTTTTTCTTTCTTTGTCAAATGCAGTTTTACAGAGATCTATTTGATAACACTCAACAAAATTTTTACTGTTTTGCATGTGTCGCTTCACCCTACATTGTATTTAAGAGTTATTTTGTACTATAGCTATGATTAAACTTATCATTTAATAAGACCTAAATTTTTCAAAATCCTATTCTAAAAAAAGGATTGTACCAACTAACACATATCTTATCTGGGGTATGAAAGCAGGTGATGGTATTCACTATTTACCCACTAATTCCTTCCTCTTTCATGATCCTTGGTACACCCTCACGGAGAGTTGTGCACCATCCAGGCTGTGTTTGAATACGCACTTTTACAGCCTCCATGGGGCACAGTGCTATGTCTGCAAAGAACTCAGCTGATGCGCTAGCAGCAAGGTAGAGGGATGTTCTCCACAAAAATGTTTTTTCCTGTAAAATTTCAATATTTTCAATTATAAAGTATTATACAGTTCATTTGGGAAGCTCAGTGAATCAGATATATATGCTAACTTACATGAAATGTTATGTGAACAGACAAAGTGATTAATATGGAATGATAGTTCCAGGAGAAATATTCCTCGTCTATAATATCTGTATAAATCAATTTTTAAAGCTGACATTGCATGTTAATTTCCCATAACTCATTCACCCCTGAAGACACGGCTGAACTCTTCCAATCATGAAATTTCAGGATTGAAAGAGTTCAATGACTTTGTCAACATTTTATCAGTATTAGGCCAATAAACCGATTAATCGACTTCAGTGTTTATGATTGATTTTAGAGAGAAAAATAGTTTGTAGACATTATGGAACTTTTTGGTATAAGATATATTGACTCATGATCTCCAGCTTAACTTCTTGCTAGATACTAACAAAAATAAAGCCCCCAGAAGTTTCCAATATTTATTTCCAGCTGCTATATATGTTGGCATCATCACCGACTAACTTCACTTAAAGCCTACTCATTGCTGCTAAGTTAGGACTATAAGTTACAGACTCAGGGTTTGAAAGGAGGTGATTTTCACATCTTGCATTTCATTTTTTATTTGTGTAAGCGACTCACTGCAACAGTATGGAGGATTTCGTAATGTCTTTCTTTTAAAATGATTATTAATTGTCAATCATTGGTTAGTTAATGGTAACCAGTTACCAATCAAACATTTTCAACCGATTCCCAACACCATAAATCGACTACATTTATACCAAAGTACCCTCGCATAGAGCTGTCACGATACACTTTACCCACGATTCGATATGTATCTCGATATTATACCCACGATTCGATTATTTCGATTCGATACACCTTTGTTTTAAAATATAAACAAAATGAGATATACAAGCCATCGATACACGGAAACCCGCAGTGTTTCCACACTTTTGATTTGAAGCTTGCCGGAGCATCACTAATTTTCATTTCCTTACGGCGGTCCGCCATTTTGTTATGAATGCTTTGTGAAAATTGCATACTTGCAGCCGATTGGTTGAGGGTTTAGAGATCAGCCAATGAAATTGAACGTCTCGCAGACGTTTCGGCTGAAGCGACATACACTAAGGTGGCAGAGTACAGTAGAAATGGCTTGACCCTAAAAATAAAGGGCATGTCTTGGATAAACATGGATAGCGGATTCATCAAGCACAACACACCTACATATATATATATATTTATAAACTACATTTTGAATAGGTGTTTTTTAGAAGAACATTTTTTTTTCTCAAAAAGTGATTTCCCCAGATTTGGGACTTCTGAAAACCATGGTTACCACATCAAAAAACACCAAAATATGCAAAAAATCATGATTTTTAACCCAGAATTTGACCCCCGCAAGTAGAATTGTTTTTCTTAAAACCTGTCTGAAATTAAATATCGCCTACTCGGCAACAGAAATACTCACGTTTTAGCATAGGTCATTCTGGTGGATTTTTCACAATATTTACACAGGTGCTGAGTACAAAAATAGACTACATGAAAAGCTAGCTTTTGTTGTGTAGACACAGATTTGTAAATGCCCAAAATTGTAGTCTCAAACCAAATTCGATTTTTTTTTTGGAAAAATTATGAAGCCCACGTAGTCCACTTCATCATGTATATGCCAATTTTAGTGCTGATTTTTTTTTGATACATGTTATATTACAGGGGTTATTCATTGTATAAAAATATCACCCATGGCCACCGTACGCTACTGTACTCTGCTACCTAATATTTAGATCGTGACGTATCGAAAATCCATAAAAATATATCGTGAATCGAATGAATATAAATAATCGCGGTGAATCGTGACGCCTCTACCTTCGCAGAAAATCTCCATGTAAACGGGTATTTACACTCGAGTTTGTTCATAGAGTGTCAAATAGGTGACCTATCTGGTCAATGATCATAAAGGCTTGAAAATGCTACTTTGGGTGTAATAAATAGCAAAATGGTAATGATTGATCCCCGGGGCCAGATTATAAATGCTGACAGGTATCCGAAAGATACAAACCTCTCCAAGCATGTTGCTGTATACACTCTTGAAAACCTCATAGAAGCCAAACTTGCAGAGTCCTTGCATTGAGTACCCAATCAAAGTAGGTGCCCACCCTAGAGCAAGACCTCTTGTTCCATTTTCTGCTAAAGTCAGCTTGAATCCATTGACAATACCCTTGTACTTTGCTGGATCTACTTGAATTCTGCATTTTACTAAATCAAGGGGTACAAGAGCTGTATGGGTGAGACCACAGCTAAGGATACCTCCAAATCCACACAGCGCAAAATATTTGTTGGAGCCAAATTCACAACTGTTGCCTGAAATTAAAGCAAATAAAGATTTATATAACATGCAAGAATTTACAAAAATTAATAGCGAAGTGGGTTATAGTGGTGTTTCGACAACCGGAAACATTGATTTACAAACATTGATTAAATCGAGCTTGACAGGAGATCGATTGAGTAATCGACTTAGCACATGAAAGATCAATTTTGAAACTTTGTGATGAAGAAGAGCGCTTTTGTACTTAAAAGAACTGAACTGATGAAAGGGACATCAAAAATAAAACGTCCCTTTCATCAGTTTTTGTTGATTCTCGCTTGAACCAAGCTGGCATTCAAGGGTAGAAGCTGTAACGTCATGATGCAAAAGCTCTACTGATTCACACTGTGGATCCTCTAAAATGAAGTATAAGACTGTGTCTTCATATACTAATAACTATTGGACAGATGAGTATATCTGAATATTCATCAGAAATTACCAAAATATCTCCACAGGAAAGTTGAATAGGATAATAGCATAAATATGTCATTCACTGCAAAATCTGCAAACTATGGTCACTCCGAGAAAACTAGATAACTTGTCCTTGTGGTCTCAGGACCTAAAATGACCCTCCCCCAATACAAAATAACCATTTTTTTCCAACTAGAAGTTGAATTTTTAGCAAAAGTAAAACCAACCCTTAGCAACTGAACACATTTTAGGATTTTGGTTTGATCGTGTTTTACGTCCTATATGGTCATTCAAGGACATGCCAGGTTTTAATGGTGGAGGAAAGCCTGAGTTGACAGAGAAAAACCACCAACCTACAGCCAGAAAGTCTCAAACCCGCGACCCAGTGGTGGAGGGCTAGTGATAACATAATGCAATTTTTCTTAAGGAATTATTGAAATCTTTTCCTTAAAAAAAATAACAATTTAGGAACTAAGCTTAGTTTCAATAATTCTAAACAAAAAAATATTTTAAAAACTGTTTCTGTCACAAATTCCATATGTTTATTAAATGTCCCAAACAAGTAGAAAAAAAAAAAGGTAAACAATTTTGGCGAGGTTGAACAGTGCTGTGAGCTGACTTAAATAGAAGGTAAAAGTAAAACATATTTAAACGTTTGTAAGTAGCTACCGATTCGATACAACAAAGAACACGACTCTCGAGTAAACACTTTACAATTGCATTGATGATTTTGCTGTACTTAACGACAGTTATGTTTTTAATCTATCCGACAATTATTTTGTATCACCTTGATAGAAATGATATTCGTGAAAGGAACTCGAAATCCAACCTAAACTGTACTCGTACAAAACGAGATGAACTCTAAAATAAGGGTCAAATTGCCCTTGGAGTGACCATGAAATTGTACACATATTCTGACAAAAAGAAGCAACGACAAAAAGTCATTGATATGCACATTAACAAGAAATATATATTACCAATAAAAAAAATGACAAACTAAAGATAGTTTCATTGAACTTTGGAATTAACATCCTACAATGATAGGCTTACTTGAAGCAGCTGATGACTGACAGTTCGCTCTGAACGGGTTGATGAATTTACCCGATGTAATCTGCCGTTTTGGATCCATTTTGACTGGAAGTACAGAAAATTAATGGGATTAAACAAGCAAGATTACACAACGATATATACATATGCAAATAGAAACACTGAAATCTGCGATTGCTGACAAAATTCATTTGCAATCACCGGAAAAGCTGGCTATACAACTTACCGAATGGCGTGTTCGGGCAAAAAGACACCGGCAAACTATCACGTGGACACCGACAATTTAAAAGACTGATTGGATACAGGATTATGACGTCATAATTACCATAAAAACTTGTTTTATTATTATCAAAAGCATGGATACCATCTGAGGGTTAACATAAATGCTTATTTTTTTACCGTTCTTATTCTTATAGGCCTATTAAATATTGGTGTATCATTTTAACGTTCGTTTAAAAATATATAATGTGATAGCCTCGTATAAATTTCTTTTTTTCTAGCGCAGATTTACCTCCCCTGCTTTAACATAGGGCCGCACTCGTTTATCACAGGGACCTGAGTATTTGTTACAGCTATTTTTGGACCTAAACTAAGGTGTTAAGAGTAATTTCACACGTTTGGGGGATTTATAAGCATGTCTGCCCATCCGATGAATCCTCCGACAGAAAAAGCTCAGTTTTAGCTTTGAAAAACTTAATTAAAGATATTTACAATACTCAAAAATACATTGCTGTAGGTAATCAGTGGTAAAAATTATATCACTAATTTTAAAAGGGAATGGAAAAAATGGGAAAGATTCAGTACTGCAAGCCATATAACTGAAATGTAAATTAATTATAATAATATAGTACCAATGTAATTCCTGTTAAAGTAGTCTATGTACAAAAATTTATACAAAATTGAACAATAAACCCTTGTCAAATCCTTCGACACCTCTCCCACCTTCATATTCTTCTAAAACAGTACAATAGTACATAACACCTAATATCCTGGTTTCAGCATATTAAAAATAGTTTAACTGGGTTTTTTTGGTGTTTTTTTGTATTTGTTTGCTTCTCAACTACAATGCATATAATATTATTCTATGTATCTTGTTTCAAACTTATAAAGAAAATAATTGTTTTTCTGCATTGGTATCCAAATTGATGTACTAATATAATAATGTTAAAAAAATGTCAAGACAAACAAAAAACTTGTGTGAAAATTAAGAATGTGAGACTGAAATATGATGTGTTATGTTTAATGTACTGTTGAAATAAAAAAATAAAAAAAGTAAATCTTAAAATATGAACCCTATTGTAACAATAATCCTCTATGTTAAAGCAGGGGAGGTAAATCTGCGCTAGAAAAAAAATAATTATACGTGGCTATTTTAAACGTATTTGCAACTTTGTAATCATTTTATGAAAGGCATGGAATTTCTCTTACAAATGGTGTTTAAAAAAAAATGCTGAGTACTGTCAAGAACAATTTAAATAACAAGAGGTCCAGAGGGCCTGTATCGCTACCTGAATATTTAAGTAGTCATAGCAAAATATTCTCATTAAATATTATATTGCACTACAAATATTTCCCTCGCAAACTTTGTCGACTCCATATACCAGCCAAATATTATTATAATTAAGATTCTATGCTTTTTGATTCTTCTTCAGAAGTTGTTTGACATATTTTTCCCTGTGACCTTGTAAGTAGGTCAATGTCATTTTCCTTCCCAAACTTTGTTAGCTCTTTCCCGAAAAGCTACCAAATCTTATGAATCCATTCCTTTTGGTTCTTCAGAACAAATCCTTTGAAATGTTGTTGACCTCTGTGACCTTTAAAGTAGTTGTAGTCATTTTCATTTGCAAACTTTGGTGAGCTCTATCCCAGGAAGCCACCTGCCTTATTTGAAACATTCTATACCTTTTCATTTCTCCGGTTCATTTTTCAGAAGAAGTCGTTTAAAGGAAAAGTTGACGGACGACGACGGATCGACGCCGCACCATGACATAAGCTCACTTGCCCTTCGGGCATGTGAGCTAAAAATTGACCGAACTTGCCCAGGTCTCTCCGGGCTGCAGGTGGGGTTTATCGTCGAGAAGACCGAAACGATTTTCTTTTCTTTTTTTCACCAGTCATCGTATAAACCAAATCTTCAAAGTAAAAGTCACACAATATTCTTTGGTGGAAGAAATGAAGTCACAAGTAATGACTGACATAAAGGACGACATAGAAAACACAGTCAGCAGTCAGTTACAGGAACTTAAACCAAAGAAAAGGGGAACTTAATGTTATGATTTTCCACATGAAAGAATCCGCAAAAAAAGGAGAACAAAGAAAATCAGATGATGAACAAACTCTGAAGATATTATGTAACCAGTTAGGAATACAGATCCGTTTTCGTTTAACGGTCAAACCGGTCGGACCACAGTTGTTCGTTTATTAAATAAGGTCGGACATAGCAAGTAATATGATGCTGCTTTCAGGCGAGCCTTGGCAAAGTCTTTCAAGGCCTGCATAAACATTTGCAGGTCCGCCAGGATTTATACCCGACATTGTTTCATTTATAAACGGTCAAACCGGTTGTTCCGCATAAACGAACAGGCCCCGGACATTGCCTTTATACAGAGAAGGGAAAATAAGACCAATAAAATTGGTATTTGAAGACAAAAACAACAAACAGAAACTGCTCTCTAGAGCGATTGAAATTAGAAACATGAGAAACGTTGTAATGAATAAGATCATTATGACCAGGGACCTCACCCCAAAACGTAAAGAAGAAAACAAAAAACTGAGAGAAGAACTCAAATACAGGAGAGACGGAGGAGAAATTTCAAAATAAAAGGAACTAAAATTGTAAGAAACAGTACAATAAAAACTCCTGTTCGACCAATGCCGAATGTACAAACGCTATCACCAGTACTAGAAGTCAAACAAAAAATAATTCAGTCGTGGATAGGAAGCGGTCAACATCAATACCATCACCACCAACATACCCCAACAGTAGACCAAGGGATATTGGAGATGTTTTCAACAACGTGACCATAAACGATGGGCCGACTAGTGAGGACGTAGAAAGTGGCCAGGAAGAAGAAACGTACATCGAGCAAGACTCCCCAAACTATGGAAACAAGTACAGAAGTTCATCATCATTCTCAATAGGATACTGTTTTTAACCAAACAAACACTGTAAATAATACACTTAAAGGTATATACAGTAAAGTGGACTCTATGCTAAACAAAAGGAAGGAAATAGAAGCAATCATAGAAATTGAACGACCAGACATAATAGCCTTCACTGAAACCTTGAAGAAATAGAGTTCCGTAAAAATACATATGACCTATTCTGCAACTCGCTTGACAACGGAAGATGTGTGTTGCTTATACACTAGAGAGGAACTTCATGCGGAAAAAGTCAAATTCACATCTAATACAGAATTTAAAGAAAGAAAAAACTACAAAAAAGAACAATTTACGCATTGGATGGCTCTACAGAAGCCCGCACAGTGACCTAGACAACTCAACAAACTTGCCTAACAAAATTAAAGAAGCCTGTGACAGATCGAACCGAGTCATAATTATGGGTGATTTCAGCTACAAGAGCATATGATGGACAACCGAAACAACTACAGAGACAACAGCATCTGAAACCCATACATTTCTAGAAGGGTTCAAGGATAACTTCCTATACCAATATGTACTAGATCCAACAAGATATAGGGATGGGAATATACCATCAACCCTAGTCCGAATTATTCTGACTACATCAACCCTTTACCTGATCCTAGAAACAATACAAAGTCTTGTTTACAACCAACCCATAGGGAAGAGTGACCACATACAACTGCAGTTTTATATCAGTATTCAGACCGAATCCACCAGCACTCAACGGACTGAACGAGTAGCTTACTACCGTGGAAATTCTGAGAAAATGAGAGAAGAACTGTCTAAAGTAGACTAGCAGGACTCCTTAGCAGGAATGACTACAAGTGATGCTTGGGCCTATTTTGTCGACGAACTATCAAAGATTATATCGACGAACAGACCAGTGAACAAACATGGGCCGAAAAGAAAGCGTATTTTATGGATGAATGAGGAGTTCATAAACGCGTTAAAGCAGAAAAGAAAAGCATGGCACAAATACGTCAGGCACAAAACACAAGCAAATCTCGCAAGATTTGACATATCAAAGAGCAACGTCACAGTATTTCGGAGGCTTATACAAAGCAAAACAATATCTAGAACAGGAATTCCTGCGTTAGAGAAAAAGGAAGGAGGACTCGCAGAAAATGGTGAAGGCAAAGCAACAAAGCTAAACTCCTTTTTCTGAAGCGTCTTCACAGAAGACAACAACAATGATACACCAAATTTGGACAATCTAGTAGGAATCATCCATGATCCAATTATGACACAGGAAGTTGTGGAAAAAAGGTTGAAGATGCTAAACCAATCAAATACAACCGGCCCTGACAAACTCCAACCAAAGTACTAAACTAAAGGAAACTGCAGAACAGATTTCGCAGCCATTATCCATTATTTTCGCAAAATCTTTAAATGAGGGATACCTACCTCAGACTGGAGAAATTCTGAAATCACCACAATATTCAAGAAAGGCAACAAAAAACAACCCAAAAACTACCGACCAATCAGCCTTACCAGCACCGTAGTCAAAAGTATGGAATCCATCATAAGAGACCACATCATGAATCACCTGGAGGACAAAAAAAATCTGAAGTTAGCACCAATATGGATTCAGGTCCGGAAAATCAACAACACGACAGTTGGTAGACGTATTTGACGACGTAACAACCTAGTTAGACGGAGGAATTTAATCAACTCACTTGTTTAATAATTACACATGTGGCATATTCTTGACTTTCCAAACCTGTGATTCTATAATCTTAAGGCCAAGTCCCACTGCACTTGCGCACGAATTACTCATGAATTGCGCATAAAATTTTCTTTGTGCGTGATTCGTCAGTGATGTGCGTAAATCCCACGTGTTTCACACGTGGAGCATCAGTTTTTGTAAGTGATTGTACGCGGAGACGGGTTTGTGCGCGATCGCCGGTTTTGAACGGTTCAAAAAAATTGCCACGCACAACGTGCGCGATTAGACGCAGTTTATGCGCAGTTTGTACTTAGTTTGGACGTGGAAGGTGCGTGATATGTGCGTGTTCTGTCAGTGGTCCGTCAGTGCTTGTGCGTCAGGAACTGGCTCCCAGCACGCACATCACTTACGAATCACTTACAGAACACGCACATATCACTTACAAAACACGCACCATCCACGTATGTTCCACTTACAATCACTTACCAAAATTATTAATTGTATCGGGTTTGGGCTTGTGCGCTGTTGTGCGTGGAATGTTCGTTCTTTGTCAGTGATTGTAAGTGCTACATGCGCAGTTTATACGCGATTCATCGGTGATTCTGACCACGCACAACCCCAGAAAATGACCAATTTCTCCACGAACAATCACGCACAAACCAATTTTATGCGTGATTTATGCGTCATTGGCAATGGGACTGGGCCTGTACCTGTGATATGCTACTATCTTAACCTAATGTATTTTATGTGTGTATCTTTTTTATTTCTCATGTTGTAAATATTGTATATTTTATGTCGACCACATGTGAGATAAGTTATCAAACTGTTTGCAGACGACTCAAAAATGTATGGGAAAGTAAAAAACCCCGAGGATAGCCAGATCTTACAATCAGACCTAAACCAACTTGACGAATGGTCAAACACTTGGAAACTAAATTCAACATTGATAAATGCGAGGTACTACAGTTAGGACACAATAACAACAAATATGAATATACCCTTGGAGGCAAAAGACTTGAGACGTCGTCACTAGAAAAGGATCTAGGTGTAATCATGGATGAAAATCTGTTTAGCGAACATATAGCAACTTCAGTGAAGAAAGCCAATATACTACAATAGGTCTCATCAAAAGAACTTTCAGTCAGCTCACTTCTGATATGTTTATTACACTCTTTAAATCACTAATACGCCAGAGAATGGAGTATGCTGTACCAGTATGGAATCCACAAATCAAGAGAGATATCCAAAGACTGGAAAATGTCCAGCGACGTGCCCCTAAGTTGAGGAGATTAGGACTACCCACTCTTCAACACCGCAGGAAAAGATACATGATGATACAACCGTACAGAATCTTGTCGGGTAAGGACAAAATCGAAAAGGGGGGTATTTTCATAACAAATAACTCCGGACGAACTAGAGGGCACAGCAAAAAAAACTCCAAAAACCAAATGCCAGGCTGATATGCCGGAAAAAAAACTGTTACAATGTCCGAGTGATTAACGACTGGAACAGCTTATCCGAGGTTGTGGTGACTAAAATCAATAACGAATTTAAGAGGAAACTGAACAACTACTGGAAAGGTATGAATATCAAATTCAATCCTGATTGCTTCTAACGAGTCTCAAAACCATCTACTGGAGACATGGTTCTACGAGCGTGAAACTGTTTTTATATGTGCTGTATGATATCTGTTGAATATGTGACAGTCAAAACAAGGATATCGTAATAGCACTGCGTGGAATATAGTTGTTACATAATCAACATTAACTTAAAGTAGTGTTTGACCAAGTGACAAATGTGAAAATATTTTCAACCATACATTGAGTAACGGAATATAGTATATAAATTGCGCAGTCTGTTACTGAATAAAGTACCCAATCCGGATAAGGGGATCAAGAAGCAGATATGCTTAAAAAAGACCGGCGACAGGTAAAAACAGGTAATTGTGTCTGGGGAAAAAATCAATTAGCGAAATATGAACGTTCGATTTTGTTTATAAATGTAAGAAAATCGATGCAATGAAACGGAGAAATTATGCATATCCAAATCGTAATGAAGAACGCAACTTATTTTGATGGGGCCCAATTGAGGTTCTTTCATTTCAGTAACATATCTACATGTATGTGTTTGTCCTTTTTGAAAATGTAATAGACTAACATAAAGCTTCTTAATCAATCGAATGGTATTTTTTTTCAAACAATGATGATGACCAAAAATTTAGCGGGGACCTTGATATCTTCATTAATGCACTTTTACACTAATATATCTATTGATATTTACCGCATGCCATGCAGTTGTTTTTTTGTTAGATTCATATAGATTTGTATAATAAATTACAGCTTTAGTTTATGCTTATGTCAAAATAATATAAAAAGACATTAAAACTGTTAAGATTGAATCTGATCATGAGACATCAAAGTTATAGGAGTAGCGAGTGTGTTTGAATTTCCCGCCACAATTACATTATTTAGATCTAATACTAAAAATACAAAAATGCTGTCTAAACTAACTTTAATAGTGATATCAACAACAAGAAACAAAAAAAAGTGTAATACTGTTTCCATTTATTATTTCAGTGGCGAATATGAAAAATATAGAAAAATAATGGAAATAATTGCAAGGTGTATCACGTGAAGGTGATCCAACATGGCGACCTCTACGATGGCAGTACGGCTTCTGAAGGTGTTTTATCCGTTTACGTCATGTTTTTATATGCTTAACCCATTGATGTGTGCTTTTTGTGCATCAAGTCGGAAAACATTCCTATAATTACTCATCTATGGTGAAAGTTTAATTATTTTTGCGATCCTAATCTCGGAAACTTGCTTGGTAGCTACAGTCAATGACACTACACTACTGTACATGTGTACCGGTACACTGAACAGCTGAACAATACCGAAGTCTTTAATACAGTTGGTTACAATATGTTTACAAACCAGGAAGTTCGTTTTGCATGAGTTGCAATAAAATATGTGTTTGTTTTGGTCTTCTGATATTATAGATAAACGTAAACAGATATGTGTATCAATGTAATGTAGATAAGCCTGTAGAAACAGTTTAAAAACAGCATCCTGTTGCTAGCATATTTTCTGTTCAGTATTGAACATTTGTAATCAGTTATCAACTAAATCAGTTACCATTTTGCTATTGCTTAACACTCATGTTAACTGATGGGCTTCATGTACATGTATATTTTTATACAAAACTTTTTTATGAATAAATAATAATTAACTTTTTTCAACATCACTTGTCATCTTAAGCAGAGATTGTTTTTAATTTAACCCATCTGTGTGAAGGACAAAATATCCACACTTCAGAATTTCTTCTGGTCCTGACACCAAACTTAGACATTTGACAGATTGATTTCTGAGGTGGTATCTATCAAAATGTCTAAGTCTGGTGTCAGGGCCAGAGGAACCTTAATTGTTTGAACCCGAGCAGATTGAGCTTTGAAAAAAAATGTTTAGTCCTGTTTCACTGGGGCCAATGTAAAGACCCTAGAATTATTTACAGAAATACCCAGACTTGAATTCACAAACGTTGATTGCTTTTCCTTGGAAACTAGGAAAAGTTCTTTCCTGGATGGGGGAGTATTGTTATTCTGCTGAAATACTGGCCATTTCCTACATTGGCTTTTAATCAGTTGTACTCAAATTTTTTCATTGAAAATAAAGTACATTGTATAACCTAATTCTTCTACTTTCTTTACAGTCATCATGTTGCAGATCCATGTTTCGTCGGAATTTCAGTAAAACCACAGTCAGACCAGGAACACAGGCAAGATGATCATTAACTTTTAGTATAGGAAGTCCTAAGTTGTTTCTGTGTTGCAGTTTTCAAACTTCAAAAGTCCCTCCAAAACATTTCAGCCAATTCATAACCCGCAATATATGTACAGTACATTATTATTCTAGATGTCAAATGAAATACTTTACTAAAGTAAAATGCTTTTTTGTTAGAAATCACCTCTTTTCTTGAAACAGTAATTTCATTTTAGAAAAAATAAATATAGAAAACATTAAGAGGAATGTTGAAAAATTGAAGGATAATTCAGTTCATAATGTTCTTATGATAAAAGTAAAGCCATGCTTTTCAAAAGTTCTTTCATTTTCAATCTATTAACATTTTTAGATGACAGTGAGAGATGCCCTAAACTCTGCTATTGATGAGGAAATTCAGAAGGATGACTCTGTGTTTGTGCTTGGTGAGGAGGTGGCCGAATATGATGGAGCTTACAAAGTAGGTATAGTCTGTTAGTGGAAGCCTTCAACATACAATATTGTTCTATTCCTCAAGTTAAGGAATAAATAACTTGACAGATAAAATGTTATATTGTTTAAATACATAGCTTTGTGCATTGCATCATATATCATTTCTGTTTAAATAAAAATAATTTAAAAACTACTTGCATACATATACATCTTGACTGTATCATTTTCAATCCCTAGTTATCTTGTGAGCTTAAGTTGTCTAGTCAGATTTAATGATATTTTGCTTTGCCTCTAGTTCTGTGTATATATAAAATTAAAGACGTTATGTTTTCTTTTCTATTAAAAGCTTCCTTTTTGTAATATATATCAATATGTGTAGATCACAGCCTGTCTACATGAAGAAGTGATCAAATTATTATTCCAAATTCTGTTTTAATGGATCAGCTGTACATGTTGGAGTTAATACTGTAACAGCCAATAGTAGGACCCAGCCACTAATTTATTGCAAAATATCATCCTTTTAAAGTATTTGTGCAGATTTATATTTCAAAAGTAATCTAAAGTTTTGTTTCCATTGTTGAACTGATTTCTATAACAGAAAATGTAATCTATTTTAAGGTCACCAAGAATCTGTGGAAAAAATATGGAGACTCTCGTGTTATAGATACTCCTATCACAGAGGTCAGTTCCTTCATTTATATGATTTGTACTTCATCAGTGTAAACAACATAAGTATATTGCAACAATTAATTTATTCATTTTCTGTATATGCCTTGTAATGATCTCTGACATATGAGACCTTTTTGTACACCAATTATCTAATCTTTTTCTCTTGATTATTTTCCCCTTTCAATGACAAAAGAAGTGTAGTTGATTTTTTTATCAGGGCAAGTGAAAGTTTTCACTACTGCATACCGGGAAGTTTTCGCTGCATTTGAAATTTTGTCTTTTTCGAAATTTATACTAATCAGAGAGCAAATTCATCATTACAGCAATCATTTGTAAACAACATAATATACATTGTAATCAAATGTGAAGGGCAGATATATTATTGGGCGAAAGTTAATTAAGCCATCGACCAGCGAAAATTTTCCAGTATACAGTATTTACTATATCAATACAGCTTGGGGTATTAGAATTTTGCCAAATTGTTCGCAGGGAAGTACTCAAAATGTGAAATTATGCATCCTTGGTTAGTAGGCCATTTACACTGCTGTGCTTTTCAGATAAAACATACCAAGTGTTTAGTTGATGTTTATCCTACAATCCCTGTTAATTAATTGAAGGACAATCGGTTCATATTTGACTGTAGTGCCTGTTTTGTTACAGATGGGATTTGCTGGTATTGCAGTAGGAGCTGCTATGGTAGGTACCCCTATTTTGGAGAGTTCTTTAAGGTTATGGACATGCATATATATATATTATCCAATGAGTGATAGTCGATGATATTTATTCTAGTGAGTTTATCAATTACAAAATGAGCATCACGCAGATTGGATATAAATCATAATCCGAAATACCCTGTCTTCTGCATACACACATGCAAGCACACATACACTACACATACAGAGGCACATCCTTAAATGACCTTAGCTGTTAATAGGACGTTAAATAAGATTAACCCAAACTAAATCATAATCCATCTTTCCCAGTTGGACCACAGGGCTGTAACACAACCTCCAGTCTATATTATAAAATGCATAAATTAAAAACACCTTTATACAGACCTTTGGGTGGGGGTCCATATCAAGCCCCTGTGAGTTACATTTCAAAATCTTGTAGTAAAGATTGCTGCTTTTGCATATTTGGACTCGATAATTCATCTCAGAGTTTATATAATTTACATATACTACATGGTGACTGAGTGGTCAAGGGATCTGACCTTCAATGATCACTTGCCCTCCACCACTGGGTGGCAAGTTTGAGGCTGGTACTGGATGTAGGTCGTTGGTTTTTCTCTGGGCACTTCCGTTTTCCTCCACCACCAAAATCTGGCACATCCTTAAATTACCATAACTGTTTATAGAGCGTAAAACACAATCAAACCAAACCAAATTTTAAACAAAATCCTGAGTGCTTTTGTGGAATAGATGTTTTACTGGAATAGCTTTTATAAGCTCTTTATTTTTGCCTGTGTCTCCTTATAAATTAGGTACCTCTGATTAGCCCATTGTCTCATTAACTAAGCCACAAAACCCTGAAACAAACTTTATTTTGCTATCTTTCCTAACAGAATGGACTAAAACCTATATGTGAGTTCATGACTTTCAACTTCTCCATGCAAGCTATTGATCAGGTAAGCATTATTTATTGAAAAATAATTGATTGAAGGTTTTTTTCATGCAGGAAAATTGTGTGTTTAATTATTTTTCTATATTAAGTATAAATATGTAATCATGTTGGGTTTCCCAATTTAAATACATTTACTTAGAGTTTTCAAAATTTGGAAAATATCCTGGTTCTTCACTGAAGTACACATTAAATTCAAACTTATAGTCACTTTTGTTACAACAGTATAAACCTCGTTGGAGATGAAGACTGAATTTTTATTTTTTAGATTATCAACTCTGCAGCGAAAACCCACTACATGTCAGCTGGGGGCGTAAGTTTTTACCGTTTTTGAACCGAGTTCTTTTGACACACTTTATTTCTGTTTATATATCTTGTAATTCATTGTTGATCTATATTGTAGAAAATTATCTCAGTATCAAATTTTGAGAGAAATCTGTAGCTGTAACTTATTTCAATAGCTGTATTTTGTCTAAATACATCATACAATAACAATTATCTGAGGATAATTTTATCTGTGAAATATACTTCATATATATGAATATATTATTTAGGTGTTGTATTTTTTGGACAGCATTTAAAGTTTTTGTTCTATTTAAGAAATATATACAAGATACAAAAGAGATTAGGTCACAGAAAATACATTAACAGATTGAGGTATTATGCATATCCCTTTCCAGTGATTTTACAAGCTTTTTTCATCATTCCTATGCAATTTCGGAAGTTTTTTCTACAATGTCAAAAGAAAGATATCTGAAAAAGTGTTGGTCCTTTTTTTCTAGCTATAACAAAATAGAGTAACTGTAGAGAGAAAATTTGAGTTAGATGTAAAGCTAATCAGTACAGAAGTCACCCACATGAAACTTGAAAAGTTACGGTTTTATCCCGATTTAGATCTCTACCGTTTATTTGTTTTTGGGTTTAACATCATCTCAACAGGCGATATGATATCATGCACTTATTGATACACTAAAAAAAACACCTCAGCTTTCTGAACTTTACAACAATGTAGGTTCCTGTCCCAATTGTGTTTCGCGGACCTAACGGAGCTGCTGCCGGTGTTGGTGCCCAACATTCACAGTGCTTTGGTGCCTGGTACAGTAGCTGTCCTGGACTCAAAGTTATCTCCCCTTACTCCTCAGAAGACTGTAAAGGACTGTTAAAGGCCTCCATCAGGGATCCCAACCCAGGTAGCCAAGCTTGTATGATACAAGATATATATATCAATTTCCCTGTTATGTTGTTATCCTTTTAGAGATATACATTCAAAACTTGGTTCAATAGACAGGTATAGGTCAAATGAAAATAAAGAAAAAGAGTGACTTTTGGAAGTGCTCTGCCTTTAATTTTACTTTCGATTTGTTCCTCCAAGACTACTTCTCACTAAAGAACACCTCCTTAAAGCTGTACCTGATTTCTGTACCTGTGTAGACATATAATTTCCTATGGTTAAATTGATATTCCTTAATCAGTGACGGTTGGTTATCAATGCAAAAGGGTAACTTTAAAAAATTGAGATTAAAAAAAACTAATCCCTGGGAATTTGAGGAATCTGTTTCTCCTTTAATCTTTTTTTAAAATATGTTAAATAAATTGTTGTAATTTTACAATTGTACAATTCTATTACCTGGTAGCTTGAACAATATACCTGTTAGTAATTTTAAAAAATATATCTATTTTTATTGGTGTCAATTAATTACTAAAATATGATAAATAAAACTGGTTTTAATTAATTCATTGTTCGGAGCTATTTGAATGCCCATATATAGTCTGACACTCATATTCATAGCTTGACCAATGAATATTATCCAATGTCAGAGGCGACCAGGAAAAATCTGTGAAGGTGGTAAGACACAGTAGTGTGTCGACACTCTGTTACTATATTATACGCCCGTCGAAGACGGGGACGTATTATGTTATCACGTGAGCGGGCGGGCGGGCGGGCAAACGATGTCCGCTCGATATCTCGAGTAATTATTAACGGATTAACTTCAAACTTCACAACAAGGTTAATTACCATGAAACCACGGACAAGTTCGATAACCGCCATTATCCGACCATAATTACTGGAGTTATTACCCTTGGTTTCATTAATGCGATGCATGCGTTCCATGATCTTGTATTGCACTCATTGATCTACCAGTTATGTTGAATGAATTAATATCAATTACTCACAAATACTTCATATATTTCAATTATACAAACAACTGCTCATTCAATGTGTGACGGGCGTATTATATACCGCTCGCGGTAACCTTGTTTAATGTAGCATTTATCATAGATATGAAATGTGAAGTTTTAGGATGATACTGTAGAAGACAATTATCTATTCAGTTAAACCAATATTAACTCATTCACCCCTACATTTTTAAACTGGACTTGTCCAGTCTTAGATTTGGTAAAGTTCAAATGTGACTTTAGGGCTGAATGGGTTAATATTGTGTTAACTGAATAACTGCTTATCTAAACCATCTGTATGTCTCCCATTTGATTCGGATAATCGGCTCTTTACTGTATATACAGGAACATTGAATAACAAGTGATAAAAATAATCCTAATATTCCTTATGTGCTTTCTTGCAGTTGTCTTCTTGGAAAATGAACTTTTGTATGGTACCGCCTTTGAAATGTCCGATGAAGCATTATCTGATGAATTTGTGCTTCCTATTGGCAAGGCTAAAATTGAACGAGAAGGTAATAGATCAACCTGCTACATAATGTTAACCTTGTTAAATCCAACTTGTACAAGTTGACGACTAATTAATTCCTACTTTGCAAGGATCAAGCATGGTAACTGTTTATAATCTCTAAATTGTTTACAGGTAGACAGTGTTAATAATAGATAAGGTCTGCATTTCTTGACCTCTTAATGGCCGAAACGTGGTCGTGTGATTCCACAAGTCCATATAATCACATAATTCATTTTAAAAAAGCCCATAATAGATCATAATATCACTTGTCAAAGGCTTGAGATCATTTATGTAGAATTATTCTGCATGTTTCATCAACAATTCATGTTAGATCAATACATTTGAGTAGATCCTCCAGTTTGACCGAAGATTTATACAGTGCGAAAATCAGACTTTATCAATCTCCCATGTCTTACAGGTAAACACGTCTCCTTGGTAACCCATTCCAAGTATGTAGGACTTTGTCTGGATGCTGCCAAAGAGTTGGAAGGTCAAGGGGTCGAGTGTGAGGTATTGTAATCTAGTCATTGTTTACGGATGGTCAAAGGGTCAATTGTTAAGAACTATACTTTGCTCTTTTATTTTGCTGGGCTAAAAGCTGTGAGTTGCATAACAAAAAATGTTTGAACTATATGGGTATTCGTTTTGTATAAGACCTGTTTATGCATTTGTCATGTCCTTATAGCAATATAAATATATAGCAATCTTACTTCCGGCAGTTTTAATTTGCATTTATCATTTTACTGTAACATTACATGATTAAACACCCAATGATATTGTACATGTACTTGTATAGGATTAATTCTTGTAGGGTAAGGGTTCTGTTTAATGACGAAAATACCCGTAAAATACACAAAACTGTGGACTCCATGGATAAATAAGCAGCAAGACAATGGTGTCATGTTGACTGTATACACTGACTGTATGAATAACTATATTTGAACAGGTGATCAATCTGAGAACGCTACGTCCAATGGATACTCAGGCAATTATAAAATCTGTGATGAAGACCAACCACTGTATAACAGTAGAAGGAGGATGGCCGCAGTGTGGCATCGGCTCGGAAATCTGTGCCACAATCGTGGAGAGTAAGTCTGATATAAACTTCTCCTTAGCGATCTCAATTATTGTATGTTTTGATGTCGTTTTACCTTTGTCTGCTTCCCTAAACAACGGTAACTTATAGATTGTATTGATCGATGGTTGGTCATAGGTTTGTAATACATCATACTAGGATACCTATTAATTGATAATTGGAGGAAAACATCTTTCTAAATGTTGGTCAGAGCAGTTGTCCTATAATCTGTATACAAAATCTTTATTCATTTGCTGTGTGGGGGATACTTCATACCTAAAATCTTATGTGCTCATATAGAAAAAGCACTGAAATCCAGTTTCATGTGAAGCATTTTGTTTTAACCAAGAAAACGAATTTGAAATATTGATTAATGTCAGGAATAATCTGTTGAGGGTCTTTGATATCATAATTCAATAGTTGTACTTTTTAACTTTTCTATTTTTGGAATAGGTTAGTTTAATTTTAATATTAAAACAATAATGATTCAGTGTGCGATATTGGCAGCAGTTTTGTAGTCCAAAACTATGAAAAACTCTGTCTAGGTTATTTTAATAGAAATAAACAATTTCATCACATCGTTGTACAGGTAAACAATCCAATTCACTCACTCAGTCATAGCTTGACAAAGGGACCAGTCGGTCTTGAAACGTTGTGACACGTTTACTATGTACATTGTTTGTGTATATAGTAAAAGTTTGATAGTAATACAAAATGCAGTAAAATTTAATACTCGTCACAAAGTAAATGGCGGTGGGCAATTGTACATTCAACGTCTATAAAAGTGATATTGATCCTTCAGGTCCTGCCTTCAACTATCTGGACGCCCCTATACTACGTGTGACGGGAGCAGATGTACCCATGCCCTACGCCAAATCCCTCGAGGCTGCTGCTCTACCAGAGATACAAAATGTCATCAAATGTGTTAAAAAAGTGCTGAATATTCCTTGATATTCATTTCTGGACAATTGACAATTTTAAGTATTTGAAGAGACTACTGTAATATGAATTTCTGTAGATACAAGTGCTGGGCTGTTATCAACCTTTTAAAATGTAAAATAAAAAAAAAAAACTATTACATGGAATTTGTGAAAGCAAAAAGTTTGCATTTAAGGTTATTGGTAGTGTAACATTTCGGAGACAAGCTGGGATTATTTAAAGGGATGTATACAAATACAAATGTATTTTCATTAACACACAGTGCAATGATCAAAATTATTTACATATCATTAAACTTATGATGGTAGTTATAATTATCCAATTAACTCTCTAAGACAGTTCTAGTGACTGCCGTTGTTAAGGTCAGTGAAGAAGTTGTACCAACAAGACACAGAAATTCAGTAAAACTTCTTTATACTGCCAATAACTGTCCAGTGAAATGTTGGTGTTATTAAGAGATTTGTCGATACACTGGCTGTGACATCTAAAGGAATCGTTGAGAAAATTGGAACTTGGGAAAATATGTTGACTGTTTGTGAGACGATAAAAGAAATCAGGGGCAGTAATTGATAACGAGGATTTATTGTTATTATTGCATAACAATAGGCATATCCTTGTTAATAGTAGCCTCATGTTAACCTGAAAATTATATTTCCACATTAAGGTTGGTAGATATTTATCCTTAATTATTAACATTTTAATATATGTGTGGTTTTTTCTTCGTCTAAATTTTGCTGGTAGCATGATTTAGTTTTTTCTCAAGATTAAAGTTTTTGTTTTTTTATCTGAAAGTGTTTTTTTCCAAAAAATTCTGGCAGCATGAATAAGATTTTTTTTCCTAGATTAAACTTTTATATTTATCTCAAGTTTTAGAAAATGTTTCACTGCACTAATAACAGACTACACTGCTTCCAATTGTGTTTACATTTATCAAACTCAAAACAAAGTTAACAAAACAAATGTATAAAATCACTTTGTACACAGTTTCTATATATAAACAGTGAATGTAGTGGGATATACCAGCTAAGATCTCATTTTCTTTCAAATTACCAGTAGAGGTATCCAAAAGAATCTCAGATTGCTTGTCAAACTGGATACACAATTTCCAAAAGCCCAAGACTTTTGTTGATTCAGATGGACACATTATTATTTCCGATGTACTATACTCCGATATTTATGTATTGATTTCCACCCCAAGTGATGTTAGTTTAATATATCGATTCAGATACATATGATAGTTGGGTGTATGTATTTATTTGTTTGTGTACTTCCTATAGCAGAGGTATAATAATGCTTTTTTGTTGCCTTTGAAATGTATAGATTGCAATTATATTACAGCGCTTTTTGCGTGTTATTTTTTTGTCCAGAGAATGTAATGTTTTCTTGGCAACATTAAATCTCAGAATACTCGGAAGTCATTGGTGACAACCTAGTATATACGTAGTTGCTTTGTATACCTTTGCTTTGAAATGAGAAAATCGTTACCGGTAGATATTTATGTATATCATTTCATATACATTGATACAATGTACCAGACATCTTTTTCATTTAACAAAAAGAATACCAACGATACCATACAGTATTTAAAAAATATCAAAATTACTGTGTACAATACGCTGTAAAAAATCACATTGAAACCAGTGAGGAACATCAGATTTGGTAATGAGCAAGGTAAGAACAATGTGTTTTAGCCATTTGTTTTATGTGTAAGTTTTGTTTTATTTATCCGTTTAAGTTTTCAACATCATAAAATGAATATTTTAGAAACCAAAAAGTCATTCAAGAATTTCTTTTGTTTCATTATATTTTTGTGCATAGTGCCCTCGTAGTCACTTTGGTTATAAGGTTGTATTAAAATTTAATGTAAAAACCCAGTAAAACTTTTTAATAGAATGTCTGATTAGTAAAACGTTATAACAGTGTCTGCTAGCTTACCTGTTATTCATTGCTGTCGGCAAACATATTGCACATCTGTGACCTTCAAAGTGTGTCAAGGTCAAATGAATTTAAACAAACTTGATAGCAAACATATTAACATTACAAGTAAATATAACTACATATTGTTGATCTTTGTTGGAAGATTTAAACTTATTTTACTTGGTGACATTCAAAGTTATTGAAGGTAATTTATTGAGAACTTTCACACAATTATCCTATGGGTCAAGACAAAGAAAGTGGGTCAATGTCAATTTATTCAGACTAACTCCTTCCCCCAACATGCCACGCCAAGACAAATACCATTATTCTAGACCTCATGAATCTAGAGAAAAATCTTATTTATATTAATCTGTATCACAAATTAAACCCCAATGACCTTGAAAGTGGGTCAAGGTCATTCATTCAACAAAGTTGATAGCCCATCACCCCAGCATGCTATAAGCCATACACAGTACTCTACACCTTATGCATCTTTAGGAAAAGCCTCTCAGAAGATTGTACCATTCGACCCCTGTGATCATGAAAGTGGGTCAAAGGCTTTCATTTGAACAGACTTTATAGTCCTTGATGCAAGCAAGTTTCTCACAAAATAACATTTCTCTAGGCCTTATATGCATCTCTAGTAGATAGCACTTGGCCGAACCATAACTTTCAAAACATCAAAGATGTCATGATGAAACTTGATAATAAATAGATTTTAGTTTAGACTTGCATCTTTTTAGCCCCTAGCATCACTGACGAGTCCTAAAAGAACCAAACAGCTGTATGATGCAGTGCAATTCATTTTTGACATACTGTATCTATGTATTACTAAATTTTAAAGGTTCATCACTTGTGTGCGACGTTCATCTTTTAATGTACCTGAAACAGTCACAGAAGGTGTGCAATGCATTGTCATAAGGTCATGCATTGACTGTAATCTTTACCTCAAGGTCAAACGTCAATAGGTACCAATTTCCTGTGAAATCTCATCCAGCAATAGCTTAACTGTGAAAGTAGCCCGAGTTTCCTCTGGCCCTAACACCAGACTTAGACATTTTGACAGATAGATGTCTGGTGTGACATTTATCTGTCTTGAGTAAACTTTAAAGAGACCGGCATCACTCACTGAAGGTGTGCATTGCACTGCAATTAGGTCAGAGTGACCTTGAACTCAATGATAAATGTGCAAAATTTCCAAGAATTTCTAAGGAAGTCTTGCCTGGACAATTTCTTTTTTATCCGTTGAAGATGTTTTCATGAAACATGAAATATACCTTCTACAGTCAAAAAAAGATGAAGGGTACATTCTTATTAACCCTTTCACCACTATAGACAATAATGGACTTATCGTTATTAATGTATGGTAGAGTATATTAAAAGTACCTAGGGGTGAAGGGTCAAGTCAAGAAGAACCTTCCCCTCAAGGGAGAAAGGGTAGATAAGTTCAAAATTTTCAGTGAAGTCCTGATTTGGATGTAAATTTTAAATCATTGAAGATATTTTGATGAAATTTTAATAATACCTGCATCACCAAAAGAAGGTGTGCAGTTCACGGCATTAAGGTCCTTCACTATGACCTTCACTTCTAGGTCCAAAAAAAGAGTAAAGCAAGTATGCATAATGGCTGATAAGGCCAAGGAGACGCATCTTTTTTGTGAACAAAAACAAATCTCTGGTTAGGATGTTATAAACATAATTTGACCTAAGATTTTGAGAATGGATTAAGGTCGTTTATTTTAACAATCTATGTAGCTCTCCAATCAAGCAAGTTGTAGACCAGGTATCAATATTCTGCGCCTTGGGAATCTTGAGAAGACGTCGAGATGATGCCAGATGGATGTTGGATGTAGTGTCAAAGGTGAGCCAAAATAAATAACTTGCAGCACAAAGCTAATTTCTCATTTCGAGATTAATTTCAGTTACTTTTACACTATGTCACCTGTTTGAATAATATACTGCAATCTTAGAATGTGATTTCACATAGAATGTCTTTTGTTAAAGTAAATGATTTAATCACATGAATGTGAGCAAATGTTTAAAAAAAAAAAAGGTCTACTTTTGTGCGCTGAAAGAAATATAAGGTAGACAGTAAGACTGTTTTACACTGCATCACATTCACCTTTTCTGGATTAAAGGTGATGTAAATAAACATGCAGGTGTAAACACAGGTACCCGTCCTTCAAAGTGGCATGTTTTCTTCCCGCCACAAATAATGCATCTTCAATACTCCAGGGGTTACGCTCTCTGCACCCCAGGAATTTGTCGGCAAAATTGACTGTACACAGCTAGCTAGTTGATTGGTCTCGGGTTAAAAAACCCACTGACCAATGGCTAGGCTGATTCCCTTCCTTTGAAGATTAAGGAGCAGTGACGCCTAACTTTAAAGCCAGTAAGTTTTACCGTTACGCGACCACTAGATTCTTTTGATGTACATCACAGAATCAAACTAGTCTTCTTTTCTCATCCACAAGATGGCGCACACTGAGCCTTTGATTTTACTATGACATATTCGAGGGGTGTAGAGAGTGCAAGTGAGCATACGTAGCCTCTGGATATCAAGGATACAAATAACGGGAAGTTCCCGCAACATGGTGTTTTGCAGAACTTCGAGACTGCCCATTGTAAACTTTGACTTATTCAGTCATTTGCGACAATAACATGTACATGAATTTAATATAGGATTCTTCTAATTACCATATTTTGGCAAGACTACACATGGATTTCAAGGAGTATTTTCGGTTAGTATTTGGCTTTGAGATATCCACAGCTTCTTATCAGTAACCACACTAACGACTAGATGGAAAAAGACCCTACAACTGAATACGAAAAAAAGTTTGCCAACTACACAAGGAACTAGCTTTTTGAAGCCTGATTAGTTAAATGATGAATTAACAATGTCAATCTTATCATATTTACGGAGGGGGGATCATAATTTGCATAAATTACAAAACATTGGAAAATTATCAAATATTTAAAACAAAAATATCACGTGAACATCTGCATTTCTGACTCATTAAGTTCATCAGGTACCTTGATTTTGTTGACATATTTTGAAATCAGATATTTTCATGGGGGCCAAATTTTGTGGTTTCCCGTCAAAACACCATTTCGTGGATTACAAGTACCCATTCAAACAGAGAATTGCTTTATATCAAGCTTGTTATTACTTTGTGGACCTGTGAAGATTATCCACAAATTAGAAACCCCACCAACATGAGTGATTTTACAGTATTCCAGGGGTGCAGAGAATGTAAGTGATCAGTGTATTATATAACACCTGGAATTTCGAGGATAGGCCAATGTATAATAAATCAACAACATTAATAAAGAAACAAACATCTTTTTGGATTAAAATATCTTTTTATTTTATACCTTTAGGATATATATATACAAAAATGTAACCTTTCCTAACAGGACAACCTGTACAAGTAATACACTCGACTGTTCATCTTTGTCATTACATTATCTGTAGTTCGACTATGATCTTTCATGAGATGATAATATGTAATGATTTTCTCTAATGAATTTTGTTGAAAATTTGCACCAAAATGCTACTACATATTGCTTGTAAATGATGGTAATTAATTATATGACCTAGGTTCCTTCAGGAACATGTAAATAAACATTGATGACTGAATACTATTTTATATAATACTTGTTTCACAAGTTACAATCTGGCATGTACCAGTGCTAAATTTGGATATGTCACTTTTCCCTTCCCCTTCTTCCCTGCGAACTACCATACCTGGAAATCTTAGTTATCTGGATCACAAACTGACCACAGGTATACAGAAATCTCCATTGTGTGGATCGATCTTCAAGAATAACACGAATCTTGTTTCAAATGTTAAATAAAATTAAAATATCATCCTACACCCTTAAAACAGATTTTGTTACAATCGTTAACTGTTTTATCACAAAATGAACCAGATTACATGTCACAGGTATTTTAATTTAACAGAAACTGCTAATTAGATAACGATAATTTTGTACATTTGTACTTACTCACACACTTCAACAACCTACATTTTGAAGCCTGATTGTACACAAACCTCTGCAGAGAATATATATAAAAAAAAAAAAAAAAAAACCTTGAAAGTGCTCTGATGTAAAAACGTATGCAGAGTTTTACTTGATACTTTTAACACTATTCACCAATACAATAACTTTGTTTTCAATGTTTGTGGAATATCTAGTAATGAACTGAAGATATAGAGTAAAAATAATTTGTACTTATACTCAGATATGAATAAAAAGATCAGATTTGTACTTGTATAAATGAAGCTTGACTTGCCTTTCTGTTATCAAATAACAGAGTGACCTGGTCACTTTAAAAAAATCTATCGGTTCTTAATATTTTCTATCGGTTCTTAATATTTTTTTAAACTAGAAAACAACTTTTGTACTAAACAGTCAAATTAGCCTAGAAATCATAGAAGCCGCCAAGAAATATGAGAGAAAAATGCTATTTTACTGGCAAGCTAGCTTTTCCAGCAAGTATAACCCTTTGACTTGCTCAATAGTTACGCAGGATCAGAAGCTGCAGTCAGCTGGTGGGTCGGTGCCCTAACCTTTTATAGTGTATTTTGAGAAACACTTGTAAGTTTGCCGAGTATATATTATCAGTCCGGGGCTATCATACTACATGGAGGTACATGTATCTGATGGTAAATAGTGCTGAGGACAACAGTCCGCGTGACAGGTTCAGTCAATCACTGCTGATAGGAGAGGAGAAATTGACATGTGTTAACGGTAAAAATTTAGGGAGGGTGCAATAGTTATGACAATAACATAATAAGCTACCAGATACATTGAACAACAAAACTAGAAATACTGGCAAAAACAGGTTCTAAAATCAATAGTCCTTGAAAAGGTATTCAAGCAATAATTCATGTTTATCTTTTACTGCAGACTTGACACTGCAGTTAATTGAAGGAATTTAAATGATTAAATTAATGATCTTCACATAAACTATATAACAACAAAATCATCTTTTGTTTCGACTCCCAGTAACACTGGCGCTGTTAGAGCTATTGATCTGGGAATGGGCGGCAACAATTGAACTAGACAGGGACGATAGAATCTACGTCAGACAGTTTCTCGTATCCTTTCCCATTTCCCATTTGCATAGGTAATGCAGTCACTGAAAAGTATCTCGCATACCTCCACATTATGATGGAATCTTGACTGGAAACAGTCTTGAATATTTACAGATTTAATATGTATTTCTACTTTCACATCAACTTCCTAACGAAAATTATATATATATATATATATTTAATATTGATTAAACAAAGAAATAACCAACCATTTTCAGTTGGTAATTAAAAACAACAGATGATGCCCTAACTGTGTCATTCTCTGTACATCACAATGCACAACAAAATTATCTACACTTTGGACGACAATCACATTATATTCCACAATGTTTTAAATGTCATAAAAATATTCTACACAAAGGAGTTAATAGAAGCACACAGACCTTAATATGAGAATCAAACAATAAACTACTGAAGTACCAAAGAGTACTTGTGACTGGCCACAGCTTCCGCCATTAATAGGCGGTATATGTATGCTGTCATCATTAAGGGTACATGCTACCTTACTGTGATACTATTCTTTAATCCAAAAGAGCTCATCCCTTTAATAAGAAACACGCAAAATCTATCATTTTCCAATAATTAGGAATAGTAATCTGAAACTTTCAACTGATGGTTCATTTTGAAAAATCCACAATTATCAAAAGATTTGGTAAGGGAGAAAACTCTTATACAAATGACATTCAATGTATAAAATGTATAAGGTATCATACACCCTTAAATCCTCCTCCTGTCTCTTCATCTTATTCTGTCTTTGCGTATTGCAGAGTTATCTTCTCTTGTGAGCAGGTATGGATTGTTATGTCATTGGTTTGTGTGAGAAAATTATGTCGTTTTTCTCAAAAATTGATGACGTTCCTCTCACAAACAAATGATGTAGCAATCAATACCTGCTCACAAGAGCAGATAACTCTGCAATACGCAAAGATGGAATAGAGGGAGGACACTTTTGAGTACCAATTACCTTGACAGGGAGATTTATCACAACAATTTTAGATGATAGGACACATGCACCGATGACAATAAAAAACACTTCTTTTATCATAATAATCATTACAAGTTTTCTATATATGTAACTATGACGCATGTCGTGTACGCGACAGCTTGAGGCTATTCAAGAATTAACCATAAAAGAGGGGTGAGAGGCACTTTTTCAAAGGCCTCCCCTCCATCAAATATTTAAACTGATTTAATCCATGGTAAACTGGATTTATTCCTGCACCAACATACTCGCTACATTAACTCATTCACCCCTGATGACACATTTGAATTCTTCCAATTCAAAGGTTGGAATAGTTTATTATGAAATTTCGGGGATGAATAAGTTAATACGGGTGCCTCAAACCTCCCAATATGATTAATTATAGAATAGCCCTCATCAAATATGTATTATACTTCCATGTTGGCTAGAAATGACAAGGCCCAGAGAGCCTGCATTATTCACCTTGATATTTAAACAATATTGTTTTCCTTTTACACAGTAAATACTTTTTTTCCATTTTGGGCCAACCATGGTGATCATCCTGGTAGCATGACTGTGTTCGTCTTTCAATGGATATTTGGTTATATGGTGGGGATCTCAACAGTTTCTAAGCTTTGACCCCTGACCAAGTCCCAATGGGGTTGACAGGACCCATGGAGTCCAGCAGTAATGTCAGCACGAGCATAGCATCTCGTAATGCATAGCAATTGTATATAGTCAAAGGGATGGGGGTCTAAACCATTTCCTTGTTATGACCCTGGGATAAATTTCCCAATTTCTAAATGTCTAAGCGAGGGTCACCACCTGAAGATGCTTCCAAACAAACTTAATCACTTAGTTCTAGAGGAGAAATTACTTAAATGGTACAATAACTGTGTTCTTATCTTATACCCACCTATTACATATTGGGTTATAGGGTGGGGATCTCAACCATTTTAGGGTTATAGGGTGGGGATCTCAACCATTTCTAAGTTTCAGTTTCTTTTTGGCCCTACCCCTCTATTTGTACCATTTTGAATTCCAAACACCAAAAAATGTTTCAATTATACATTTGTTTATGGTTGATATCAATCACAAAGCGCTGTAGCCGTTACTGATAGTGATATGGCCAAATTACCTCTTTTTGAACCTCCAAAACCTAATGTTATTTCAAGACAACTTCGTTGAAATTACATTCAGAGGCTCAAAAGAATTTGGTTGAAAGAAACGTTTGACAGATGTCAGATGTAGTGGTGTGGCATACGCTCACCTTGATCATTCGGAATAACAGAGCTAAAAACAAATATCAGGTAAAACTGTAAAGTACTTTGGATCAGTATCCTGCACCCCTGATAAGCATTTTTTTCAGATTGTGTTCATATTAGTATCTAACAGATTTGAGAATTAACTTATTCACCCCTGAAGACACATTTGAACTCTTCCAACTCAAAGGTTGGGAAAGTTCATTATGAAATTTCAGGGATGAATGAGTGAAAGCACTACACTGGCAATCTGATATCAAAAATTTCACATCACAGAGTTAAAATTCATTTAGTTTTATCAAATAAATCTTGAAAGTATTAGTTATTATACATAAAATGATGCAATTCAACAACAAATTAAATTTCTAAATGGCACTATCAATTCAGGCAATTTTATAATCTCAGATTAATCTAGCCCATAAAATCTAACTAAACTCTTTCTAAATGAATTTTAACCAAATTTCACCAAGTGGGGAGAATTTCTCTGCACAAACTTAAGTTTTGTTTGAATCGATTGCAAGTAAACAGTACAATGAAGAACATTTAAAAATGAATTAGTGAATACAATTATTACTGAAAACTAATTGTTGATGAATTAAAAGATATCTGTCAATTTTACATTTTTTTTACTCTGAAGTTCCACTTTCCAGACCAATTAATTTTACACATGTTCAGAGTTATATCTAATGAATTTTTCAAGAACCTCATAAACAAATATACAGTTGTAGAACTAGAAACCAAACAACAATAAGGGTAGTAACATTACAGGTAAGCAAGTATCACAAAGTCATTGTTAGTTATAGTCATTCTGTCTGTTAATACTTGGTATAGGACTTTTAAATGTTTTTAAATATTGAAAGTGGTTATCTCAAGTTTTCACTTTTTTTTCTACAATCAAAATTAAGGATAAAACCTGAATTTACACTCATATCTTGACAAAAGAAACAGACTTTTCCGAAAGCTCGTCAAGTAAGTTTTCAATTCCTGTTTGTGTTTATACCAAACTGATGAATCGTATTCCGAAAATTGTTCAAAACTTAATTCTGCTTTCGTTTACAGAAGCAATGCTGCAGCAAATCATTACGAAGATATTGTAAAACATTCTCCCCCACCCTAACCCCGAATATTGCAAAAAAAAAAGATCTCTTCAAATTTGAATCTAACGGATTATAACAGTCACTTTTAAAATTGTTGAACTTGTGCCGCCGCCAATGTCACTACCCAATGATAAATATAATGGCAAAAAAATCACATAGCAGATTACATCATTCACAAACTTATACATGCACAGTTAATATTTTTCTCTCTGAATTTTATTACATACAAGGCACTACTAATGTACAATGTACAATTTTATATCACTTGATCCTTCATCATTCTTAGTATGACAAACAATATTGATTTGTAGAAACAAATAAGATATATATATACAAGATGATATAGCACCACGGAGCACTTATGAGCCTATGTCATCTCGAGCAATGAGCGATGGTATGGGTGGGATAGTGATGCCATGCTGTTATTCGAGGGCAGCAGGGGCCTTGTATTTTTCTTAGACGTGGGAAAGCGATCGTGGTAAAGCTCCAGGCGCAGATATTTCACCGTCACAAGGCGACCTGCAGATAAAATCGGCACACAATTCATTAGGGATTTCAGCAAAAAGTGAAGAAATGCAATAATGTAGAATCAACAATCTTTAATCCAGGACCCATATATCAAATGAGAAGACAATATAAGGCACTATCAAGCCAGGAATACACTAAATAGAAAATTGAATATATAATGTATTTATCAATTATGGACTTTTGGCGAGGTTGATACGTTGTTATATAGACCTGTTTAGTGATATAGACCAAGCACACAGTCTGAGGTCAATATTTCTCTGTAACAATGTCCTCAATTTTTATATTACATATCATGTCAATCCAAATAGTGAAAATCATCGGTGCTTTTTTGAATGAAATATTTAAATTTAAAAACATGAGGTAAATATAGTCCCATTCAAGACAAAAAAAGAAATAGAAACCTGGGGTATTTATGGTTTATATTGGCGAACCGGAGACCAGGGATAAGCCAATTGGAATGGAGGAAAACAACGCCATACGTATACGTAATCTGTTATTGACACTCCTATAAACTATTTGTTCCATTTTTGTTGATATGGACCTAGGTCTGTAAGCCTTCGTCCATTATTATTCAATTAAATTCAAATAAATATGTAATGTAGAAATATAACCTCAGGTCAATCATTCGACGGTAAATCTGATTTACTACATCACTGGACAGGTAAATTTACTATACAACAGTGACCACAGGAAGTTTCACACATATGACTTAATACATATTTTTATTGTGAAAACTTGCTCATTACAAAATCAAATATGTCTCCTGGCAATAAATTGTCTCATGAACACTAAACTTTTAAATGTTATAGATCTCGCTAGGGAAAATGTTTCATACAAGTGTTCTTTTCAACGATATCACGCAATAATTTGAACAGTTACGCCCCCTTATTAACTGTGTGCCAGAAGCAACCGATAAAATATCAGTAGGCGTACGTATAGCCTATATGTAGATGATCAGAATCACTTCAATCCCAGTTTAACACTTCTGTGTAAGATACATCCAAGCGTTACAGGTCACTGTGTACTTACCGTCAAACCACCAGCCATGAAGTGAACGATACACCTGGTAGGCAGTCTCACAGCTGTTACACTTCATGTACACACAACCCTGTTAACAGACAACAAAGCTCATGTACACACAACCCTGTTAACAGACAACAAAGTTATACTGACGTCACAATCATAAATACATTTACTCAATCTAGTACACAGTGAAACTTGTCTTTATCAATATGTCAGAGATCATCTGCTCGGATATAAAACAGTATGTCAGTTAAGCCAAGTTTACAAGACACTTATCAATAGGGACTATTAACATTACAATTTACGATAGATCCTGCAGTCAGGTGTCCGTGAGGCCACGTTTCACTGTAACTTATGAAGGATAGCCCTTATGTGAAAGATTGTATCTAGCATTGAGAACAAAAAGGGCTGCCAACATACTAAAGGTTGTTGACAGTAAATCATGACGAATCAACCATTTATTGATCATCCACAGTAAATTATGAAGAAATGCTCATATTATGAACAACAAATCCGAGAATGTAATAGACAGTCACATTTGTCATAGCAACCAATGTTTTATTAGATCAGGAAGCTCAAATTTCTACAAAGCTGTCTTCGGCTCAAAATACATAACTGAGCAACTAATAGTAAATCTAGAACTATCAAATAAATTGTATTTGTTTCAGAGTTTTCATATATAAGTCATACACTGTGAAATGACTATTTTCATTCGGTTTTTAATTTCATTGATTTCGTGGGCAGTCTTCATCAAAGAATGTATAGGTCCAAAAAGTAATTACAAGTTTGATATAAAGCAATTCTCCAATTGAGTGGGTACTCGTAATCCACAAATTAATTTATGCATCACCCATATTTGCGATGAATATGATCTAATGTAGACAACAGAAGTTATATGTTTTCTACTAACCTGACTGGAGGCCCTGTCCACAAAGATATGTAGGATACCGGTGATTCCCTTACACTTTTCTAGTACAGCATCCTGGACATTCACATCCCAGTCGTCTGCAGTCTCTCTGTAAACACATAACAGCACAACTCACAATACTATCAGGAATGCTCTAATCAGAATAACATGGGGTGTCCATAAACAAGCTTATCCGAGTTCGGTGTACGTTTTCTGGTGATTGATCCGGCCATTAACTGTCATATGGCCCAAGGTTCGATTCAACAATTTCTGAATTACACCAAAAAATTCTATAAAACAAATAAAATGATGGGAATATGCTACCCAAAGTAATGTGTATCTGTTATTAAGGTCATAGTGTATTGATAAACGGAAATAGGAAGTACATCCCTAGTTGAAAATCCAATGTAGGGAGACAGTATCACAATTTCCGCATATTCTAATGTTTGATATTAAACTGATGAATATTGTATGTTTATTATTGACAGAACAGTGTGTCCTCTTAATATTAAAGTATTTCAAAGCAATCCAGGCATTAATTCAGGTGGTTTTTTTTATCAGAGTCACATGTGTCCATTTTTCTGTACTGCAGGAAACCGGCTACCTATTTCACTACTGTGAAGTTTTTCAAGAAAGATAACTCTTTACATGCAATTACTATGTGTACATGGTTTTATAATAAAATGTCAATTTTTAATCGTTTATAGATAATCAATTTTATAAAATTTCAGCATTTATTAAATTGATATACATTAATGCAATACTAATCTATGTCTGTATCATTTTTATTGATATTATTTTGCCAAAAATTGTTTCTTTCATTTATTTTTCAATATTCACTCCTTTTTACATAAATTTCCGTTTAAAATCCTTAAAATTCTGACAACCTATATTTTTTTTGTGGCAGAAAATTTTCTTTACTTCAAAGCAACATAACTACAAAATTTTAAGAAATTCTACTGAGAAATGTTGACACAATCCTATTACCTTAATGATAAAGTATTGACTGGGTGGTTTACGATGGATAAAGAATTCCGAAAGTACAGACAATATACTTTCGTCCAGTCAAATTTTTGCCCTTCCACAGTAAAATCCATTTTCGCCCAATATTAAATCTGCTCTTTACTTTTAGTTAGTATGTGTATTATGTGGTTTACAAATGTTCATTGTAATGATAAATTCGCCCTCATCACGGAGGGTGTAAAAGGTGTAAATTAAACTGGACCAAAAATTTCCCAGTATACAGTTGTGTATTTCATTCTGTACATGGCCACTGTGTTTCACTTACACATCAGCATCAAACATGTTGCGGATTTTCAGACACGGAGTTGGGCTATACTGGAGAGTGCTTCCTGCTGCTACCTTGTTCTCTCCAAAAGCTGAAATAATATTCAAAATGACAAACTTTTCTTTTCATCTTCTATATAGATTAAAATAAAAATTCCATGGAGGTAGATGTGTCACCTATTTAAGCTTCGGATGAACAATCGCATATTCCGTCTTTGCGTATTGCAGAGTTATCTTCTCTTGTGAGCAGGTATTGATTGTTACGTCATTGGTTTATGTGAGAAAATTCAGCGTTTTCTCAAAAATTGATGACGTTACTTTCACAAACAAGTGACGTAACAATCAATACCTGCTCCTCACAATACGCAAAGACGGAATAACATGAATTGATTTAATTTATTTGTGATGATTGAATAATAATCTGAATTACATTAACCATTATTGATCAAATCGGAACAGCCTCGTGAAATATTAGGCATCCTGCTTCAAGAGTAGAGTAATTTTATACCAGGCAAGATTTGTAGCAATCGAACCGTAATTCTTCGAGAGATATATTCTTAGATCCAACAGCAAATCAGACAGCAGCAGCCAATTCAGCTGAACATCAAATTGAATTAGGAATTTGAGTAGTGACTAAACCAGGCTAGTTTTACTGAAATTCTTCAAAAGACAGCAGCCAGAAACATGTATCTGTATAATTTCTAGCTGGCCGCTGGCAGCCATATTGAGTGAGGAATTGATTTTAAGAATTGATAAGAAGGAAGTTTTACGAAAATCAGAACATTCCTTGAAGAGGTATTGCACAAAATCACTTCAGGTGCAAAAATGTCATACCAAATTTCCTAACTTGCCTCAAAAACAAAAGAATTGAAAATATAATTCATACTGTAAGAATTTGCAAGAAGTTTAATGAAAATTCCTCCAAGAGTAATTGCAGGAAAACCAATGTACAGAAAATTACCCTGATGATACCAACAGTGAGCAATCTGTAAATGATTGACCTTATTCACAGGCCCAGTAGACAGTGGTCTGCACAAGGTAGGCCAACCAATACAGCCTTATGGATTTATGACTTGTTAAATGTTTCTTAAAGGTCCCTGTCCCACTGCACTGTAGTTTTTCCTATGTATATATAGTAACCTCCCTTTAACTTCCTTCAGGATCCCTGTCCCGCTGCACTGTGGTTTTTCCTATATATACAGTAACCTCCCTTTAACTTCCTTAAGGATCCCTGTCCCACTGCACTGTGTTTTTTCCAATGTACAGTAACCTCCCTTTAACTTCCGTTTGGATGTAACTGTAGCACAGTAGAGCCAGGACACTTCAAGTGACCAGGTAACTCAATCAGTTAGAACGATAGTATATCAATCTGAAGTCCAGGGTTGCTATCTCGGTCTGGCCCTGCTAAACCATTTACACTCAGAACACTGTTGTTTATTATATTTTGTTTATTTCATCTTATATTGTTTCTCATAAAAGTCTCAGTATGGTAAACAAAAGGTATGTTTTCTTTTCAGAAATGATTTATCGAGGCTATAGTCATGCCAAAAAAATAGTTTCCAGCACAAAGTTACAGTTTTCAGCAGTGGTACAGGGATCCCCAAATATTACAGTTTCAGTTCTAAATGGCAACCCTGTTTTTCTGGTAGATATCTATTAACAACACATTTATCCGCTTACCTTGGCCTTGCCAAACTTTTCCACAGCTTGAATTAGTCTGCAATACAAAAATTAAAACATTACACCAACTGAAAGGTTTTCAACTATTATAGATATCACTATCTTACTTGAGTTTGAGTATCATCCAGTAATACACACAAAAAAATAATTTAAAATTCCCCTGGAATTTTCAAATTTTATACCAAATAAACAATGATGTAATAACTGAAACTGTGGATTGCATTGTTGATTTTCTTAATCAACCTGTGACATTTTTAATAGAATGTACAGGAGAGTAACATATTTTACCTGTGGTAACTCAAGAGGAAAGAGGGTCAAATGATTTCTTCCTAAATTTTGCCTTTGAAAAAAAATGCTTCTATTCAGACAAAAGCCAGACTGAAACTACATATATACCTAAAAGGCATTGAAGTACCTGCATTGCATTTAATGTAGAGTGAAATAAATAAGTAATGTTCCTGGTAAATAATATGATATATTTACATGGACGCTTAACAGTATCTTTTGCTTATTATATCCTGCAGTAGATCTCAGAGGGATCTTGGCGCCAACCATTGTACCATCTTCATTAGTTCTATGTCGATTTGATCTTTTCTCTTCTTTTCTCTTAGCTGTTTGATTAGTGTGCCTGTCCGCTATCTTAATCAGTCTTTTTGATCGACCTCAAAAGCTAACATGCACAACTCAGGACCAAGGGCAAACTACATATCAAATTTGAGAAAAATTCCTCCAATAAATTCTGAGAAATAGCGATAACAAACTTAAACTGTAACAAGATGGCCGCCTGTTCGCATTTTTGTTTTCAGATCAGTCCAAAAATTTGATATGCATAACTAAAAAACAAAGAGGAACCTTTATATGAAATTTGAGAAAGATCCCTCAAAAACTTTTTGAGCAATAGGGCTAAAAATCTTTTACTCCCAAATTCAATATGACCACCCAGCTATCTTGGTTTCCCAATCATCATTAAAATTTGAAATGCGGAACTAGGAACCATGGGGAACCTTATGTGAAATTCGAGAAAGACTCCTCCTGAACATTCTGAGAAAAACGCTAACAAACTTTCTTTCTCAAATTCAAGATGGCTGCCTGTCAGCCATGTTTGTTTTGTGATCAGTCCCAAAACAGGATATGCATAACTAATGACCATGGGGAACCTTCATGTGAAATTTGAGAAAGATCCCTCCAGTACTTTCTGGAAAATAGTGTGAACAAACTTTAACTCTCAAATTCAAGATGGCTGCCTGTCGGCCATGTTATTGTTTTGTGATCAGTCCAAAAACAGAATATGCATAACTAAGGACCATGGGGAACCTTCATGTGAAATTTGAGAAAGATCCCTCCAGTACTTTCTGAGAAATAGCGCTAACCAGTATTGTTTAAGGACGGACGGAATGACGGACGCAGGGTGATTTGAATAGCTCACCATCTGATGATGGTAGGCTTATCAAAAAAGATGATTAAATTCTACCAATGGAAACCCAGATAGTTTACAGTACATACCGGTAGCCAACGCCAGACAATAAAGTCCTCCCCCTGTATATTCTGAGTCTCAACACGGATCCTGGACTCGTTGGCCTCAATGAACTTGACAGCTTTCTCCCACAGTGGAACCATCTGTTTCCTAGGTACACCCCAGAAATAGCATAAGTCATAATCTTCATTGCACAAATAAGAGTATTAACACATGAAATTTAAGGGTGTCGTGTTTCTTATTTTCACTTAATCTTAACACTCCATAACAGCACTTTTTGATCTTAATTTAGAATGCTGCATACATTTTTCTTTCTAAAAAAAGATTCAAAAAACAAATCACTGCATCTAAAGCTTATTATGATTTTCATTCCAATCTTATTTTAAATTATCATTGGTTATACTAACAAGACCATGTCAAAACCAAAGAACAGGATCTGAACACAAATCTAACCAGTTGGTGAAACAGAAAATATAGGGTAGGTTACAGTGACCTACATTATATAAAGTGGTGTTTATAGTGACCTACATTATATTAAGTGGTGTTTACAGTGACCTACATCATATTAAGTGGTGTAGTGCTTCTTAAGTATCCATATATTACCAGTAAGTTTTCTGACTGTATGACTTCTGACACATATTAAGAGTGCTGACTGTATGACTTCTGATATTAAGTCTGACTCAAGTCATTGAAGCAGTAACAAATAGGTCACAGAGACCTACATTTGATACATTGTTTAGTACTAGTGAGTAATCAACACATTAAGTCACTGTTGGACTTCCAATATTGTCCATTAGCAAGAGTGAACTGTAAATGGTAAGTTGTGTTGACAGAATCAACTGACCTCTGCGAAGGTGGGAGGAGCTGGTCACGGACATGCTGAACGGCCATGTAGGGCGGCTGACGACTGTCCTGTTCATTCATGTCGTAGTTCTCCTTCACCATGTCTAAAAATAGCATCCATGTGTGAATTAAGTATGTTCTAAAATAGCATCTCTGTATAAATCAACCTACTGCTCCTTATTTATGTCAAAGGCAATATCACTTGTAAACTTCCCTTTATATTTTACCTCACCTAAAATGAGGCCCAAAGGCCTTGAATTGCTCATTTGGCAAATTTTAAAAAGAGTCTATTCTATACTGATAAGTGCCCAGTTGTCCATGATGAGTGCCCAATGGAGACCGATATATTTGCCCTTTATTTTAATTACTGCTGATCTAAATCAACTTAGTAGTTTTCAAAGTAATGATTAATCTGACCCCTTTTGACCCCACCAGTCAGCTCTGTCATCTACATATAAGAGATGACCTTTTCTTAAGTTAATCAACTGTTTAGGCCCTTTAGTGCCCCTCATAATTTTTTATCACCATGGGCACTGAATGCTACCAACAAAATTCAGTTGAAGTCTGTCTATGAATTTGGAAAATGTCGCTTAAATCAAATCAACAAATTTGACCCCTTCTGCCCCTGCCCCTGCCCATATGTTCTTTATTGGTGCTAATTCCCTTACTAAAAATGCTACATAGTTTTACATAACTTGGATGATCTGGAAGATGTCATTTAAATCCAATTTGACAGCCATTTTGAGGGGTTTTGACCTTGCTCCTTGGCCTTAAGGCCAATCACACCCTTATTCTGCATCCCTTTTCCCCAATGTGCTAATGATGCCACCACCAAAAGTTGGTCAAGATCTGCTCTGTAGTTCAAAGGTTCAAAGGTTGGAATAGTCCATTATAAATGTTCAGGGGTGAATGAGTTAATGCAAACAACAACAGACAAAGCATCATGACATAAAATCTCCATACTACTTTACTTCGTACCAGGTGAGCTAAAAATAAATCAACTGTAATGATTACAACAGTAAGTACGAGATGTTCAGTATACAGAAACTTACCAATTATCTTCTCCACAATTCCGAAGACCTTTTTTCTCTCTTCCTCTTGAGCCTTCTGTCGATGTCTCAGTACTAGTACTCCAAACATCATCACCGCAAAACCTACAACCCCATATACAATATTCAGAATAAGATTCATCAGTTTGGTATGAATAATAAAGCCCAAGCTTGTTTTGAACACAAACAGGAATTGAAAACTTACCGCAAAACCTAAAACCACAAATATAAGTTTAAAATTCATGTATTTATTGTTTTAGGATAGATTTTATTTATAACCTGTCCATTCATACTATTTTTAAGAATATATTTATAAACTTTTCATTCCTACCATCTGTAAAAATAAATTGAAAAGAAAAGTGGCAGAATAATAAAACAGTAAGTTTTCACTTGGATAACTCACCATTGTACAAAGTAGATAAAGAAACTCAAAGGACTTTTTCTGGCTTAGAGTTATTTCCCTTGGAAACTGAAATGTTTTCATGTTTCATTTTGATACTGTGCATTTAAGAAACCAATCAAGTAACATTTCCAGGATGTAGGACCATGGGCAGTAGTAGACATAAGTGTGACTCCTGCAAATTTCTCGAATTTTTGCTGTTGTTATTTTATGGTTTCAAAATACTCCAATTTCAAACAAATGTAATTCTGTAACATGCATCCTGAAGGGTTTTTTTTCATATGAAATGCATATGCAGAAAAAAAACCTCACAAAATATTCATAGTTGTGCCAATGGAAATGATATGTTAGCTCAAAGAATGGTTCTCTTTACTTAAAGCAGATTAATTTTGCATTTTGCACAATAAAATAGCCATATAAATCCTGTTAGCATTTTGTGTAAAACTTTTAAACACAGAAGAGAAAAACATGGTGATTATTGAATCTCTATAGCTATAGACTCCATCAGCCTTAAAATTTCAAAAGAAAGAAAGAAAGTGAAGTGACATAAGAAATCATTTATAAAAGGCTGGAATACCCAATTTCTGTACAGATGTATTTAACCTGCCTACTAACCACCCTGTACATCTGGAGGAGCCATTCACCAGTAAAAAAACATTAGAGAGAAGGGCTGCAACAATATATCGTACTGTATTGCATCACGATACTTTCTTGTATATCGTATCAAATTGTTTTGTTTGCCTGTATCGTGATACACTAACAGTACTTAAATTATCAATTAATTTTTATCAAACTCCTTAAAAAGTGTTCTTTCATTTTATTAATCCTTCAGTAAAGATGTGGTCCTGGCACTGTGCAAAAGTACAAGAAATTATACAAAATACAAATATATATTGTTGCAGCCCTATTAGAGAGTTTAACATGAGCCTTACACATGAGTAACAGTACAACTCCCAGAATAATCTTGTACAGTGCTCCGTAGACTCTTGCCAAGAGGGACAGGTCTGGGTCAGTCTCCAAGTGGTCGATATCTTTCCAAGTTGAGGCAGGTGCATTCCCCTTAGTCAGCACCCTGTCAGATAGTTACACAAGATGATTTCAAACTGTTACAATATGACAACTGTCAACTTTTCATTATCATTACAGTTCATTACTATGAGAGTTAAGTTAATGATAATGGAAACAAAAATAATTTAGAAATCTGTCCATGCAAGTATATGCATTAGAAGTCTTAGTACAGAAATTCTTTCAACACTAGAAGTAAAGAATGTGTCTCAAATAAGTCATCTGTTCTATATACAAATTAACCAATGGTATATATCTATTATAATATGTCTACAGTGAAAATACACATATTGTAACAAGAATCGAGGAAATTGTGCTTTTCATGTTCAAATATGGATGATGACATGGAAATTTATGTAGTGAAGTGGAATTTTGATATTTGATATATTTGTGATCATCAATGTTTGTAACTTTGTAAAAATCAAAATCTTAAGACATAACAAAATATATATTACCGTATATTCCAGCGTGGGTTTTTCATGATCAGAGTCAAGGTTCCACTGAACATCTTTTCCTTGTTAAGCTTCAATGAGAATTTCAGACGAGTTTAATCATTAGTTACACACTTGATCGGCTGAATTGTATTTTACAACATCAGAGTGATACTGAGGAAATAAATACTGAATATTTTGGGGTTTTTTCCCATTGAAAACCTTATATTTATCGAACATGCCAGAACACAACGATATCTTGCACAATTGTGAAGTATGGGTGAAAATATCATAATATTTAGCCATAAGAGTGACACATATATAGTATTCAATGGGAAAACCACTAAATTTTCGACTTATTATATTTTTTAGATGCAGCAACCAAAATGTCACGATGAAATATTAGTGAATCAGCATTTAGTAGCGTCATAATATTTCTGAAAGGTCAAAACAAGCCATTCAGATTGATATGTCTCACCTGTGCCCTGCTTTGACCATCAATGCACATATCGGAATAAACTAAATTAAATGCAAAAACTTAATGCTGATGGAGATGCTGACAAAGTCAATGGACTATAAAAGGTAGGCCGCATCCAGCATTTGATGCATGGGTTGAGATGTACTATCTAAGATGCATCTATGGTCCAAGTTTGGTTGGTCTAGCACTCATTCTTTCAGTGAAACTAACTTAAACGAAACTAGAAAATGTCTGTTAGACATAAATGCCCCCCTTGCCATGTGAAATTAGTTTCAGTATTCTATAAAAGGTTACAACCACTTTGATCTTGATACCCTGAAACATGCACACACACAAGGTACGACACTTAAAGTTGATCAGTTGATTTTAATATTCATGTTTTTTTCTGTATGTTATTACCATCTCCATAACATATTGAACGAAGTTGCTAAGTGTTTAAATTGAATCAGTTGATGATTTTCTATATATAGCAACAGTGACCTTGGCCTTGACCTTGGAACCTTGAAACACAAGGATGTCAGAGGTATACCCATACTTGACCTATGTATAAAGTTTGACCAAAATCCGTGAAAGAATGAAGTTGCTAAGGGTTTAAATTGAATTAGTTGATGATTTTCTATATATATCAAGTGTGACCTTGGCCTTGACCTTGGATCCCTGAAACACAACAATGTCCAAAGTATACTCATACTTGACCTTTGTATAAAGTTTGACCAAAATCTGTATAAGAATGAAGTTGCTAAGTGTTTACATTAAATTGGGACGGGACGGGACGGGACGAGACGCGACGTGTGTTTACATTGAATCGGGACGCGACAGGACGGACATGGGCAACACTATATGCCTCCCCCATTTTATGGCGGGGGCATAAAAACTCAATGTTGACCCCACTGCCACCGCCTATGGAAAAGCAGCACTTTAGCTTCCGCTACTTCCTTGCTGCGAGACACTGAAATTAACGCTGGACCTTATATCTTTTATTTTTCTGAATACTGTTATTTAGGAGATAACCCTCTGGTTTAAACTTTGCGGTGGAATGTCATGATTATACTGTCATATTTTTTTTTAGTTTTAATAGTCACAAAGAGCGGGGTCAGTAAAATAGGTATTTGCTCATACTAAATGACGCCTAGCTGAAAAATAAATTTTAGTCATTATGGTTTTTTTTCTTCTAAAAATGGATCACTCTGCCATTGATGAATGATATCCATAACATTCACAGTGAGGCAGAAATATACTGACTTCTTTGGGTATCACCACTGTGCCTGATGTCATTAATAATCAATTTCATGACATGTCAGGGTCAGTAGAGGTCATTGACAAATTATTTAAACTGACCAATCAAGTAAGGTGTTACATCTCAAATGAATTAGAATTATAATACACTTGATAAAAGATTTGAGTTTCTAATCGATTCTGAGCACTGCATTTTGTTACGTATACAGCACAGACAAGTACTGATTGTAATGGGAGCCATAACGAAAGTCCCCATAAATACCCCAGCAGTCACAAATGGAAGTTGCAGAAGTGCTTGCCGTACAATTAAAAACCTACATACCAATTTTGACCAATCAGAAGCCAGTCTAATGGTGGCTATTTTGTCCAACCAAAGATGCAGAAGTGCCATTATACTAAACAACAAATTTAAGTGAATCCATTCAATATCAATTTTCAACCAATCATAGGGTGCAGCAGCTATGTTGGATAACCGATTGAAAAACAAAAGTCAGTGGCACACCAATTTCCATTCATTACCACTCATGTAAAACCTTGTTACGTTCTACCCAATAGTTTTCAAGAAAAGTGGCAGAGAAAAGTGGAAGAAAATAATAAAAAACAGAGCAAAAACTACAAGTACCCAAAATCTTTTTGGTGACTTAATAATATCACAGGGAAAGACAGAAGGAGAAAGGGTAAGGAGTAGGGAGAGGAGAGAGGAGAAGGCAGAAAAGGAAGGAGAAAGGGAAGGGAAGAGGAGAAAAGGGAAGGGTTGGGGAAATAGGGAGAAGGAGTAGTTGCGGAATATGATTTAGATTTTTAAGTATCGAAAAAGATCATCTTTTTTAATGGAAACATGCAATTTGGTGGTATTAATAATATGGGGAAAACAGAATATGTAAACTAAAGCCAAGATTTTTACAGGTGGAAAATAAGTTGTTTTGTTGATCATCACAATATGCTAAAAGTTGTATATATATATATGAACAAAGAAACAAAAAGCATCTAGAATCAGATATGTAATACCTCCTGGATTTCCTTTTTAGCTTCTTCAACAGTGCAGCTTAGGTGGTTTTCATCATCTCCTTAAAAAAAGATTATTGCAATTCTTTTCAAAATAAAATACACAGTCACATAAAAACTAATTATTAAAGTTCATATTACAAATAGAACATGTTCTACTTCTTGAGATTTCCACTCAACAAATAGTATACGCTATCTAAATACTAATGTACTCACTTCAATCTTGTATACTCTGCATAGTCGTCAGCCTCTAGACAGACACCAGTCAATAGTTCATTACTATCATATTAGTATTGTTATTGGAATACCAGGAAACTTTTGCTCAGTCAAATTCCCCTCCCCCCCCCCCCCCCCCCCCCCTTCACTGGTAGAATCCATATTTGCTCAGTGCTAATTAGGCCCTTAAAGGGACAATTTAGTGAATTACGGTTTTTTTATAGCCTTGTCAAAAAATTCTTCATTATTATGTAGTTTGATACTCCTTATGAACGATTCATGTCAAGAAACTGACAGGAGACAATGTTTTCTTGGCGTTTTTAATCAGTAATGAAGACAGCTTTAACTGTATGTTTTAGCGGCAGCTGACGGTGAATTTCTAGCTAGCTTACAAAATCTCTTTCCAGTAGAGGAGACAAAAGGTAACTTTTTGCTTTATTCACCTAGCCTCTCTGGAATACAAACACATGCATTTATTCTGGATCAAAATCGTCTTCCAACAATATCTCACACATCAATATAAATGAGTGATCTATTTTACGTTTAAACCTATTGATATCATACTTTTTGAGGTTTGAAATTCTCCCTGAGGCACCCTCTCAGAGTGTGCATGCTCTAATTGAACCTGTTCGTTTTTATTCAAATCCAAATGTGAACAGAACTATCTGATTAGAGGTATATCTTATAATACTTATAAGTTTTATTTGCGATGTATTGTGTAAATTCAAGAATGTGTTATGTGTGAACTCAGACTAATAACTGACACTGCGTTATCGGTCAACAGCGTAGTTTTGTACATGTTCACTCTTTGCTGAAAGGCCCAGATATTGCGCTATTTCGGTCGTAGCTATTTTTATCACCGGGTTTCCCAAAAGATGAAACTGACCACACTGGACATTGGCTTCAGGTCATGTCATTATCAACTAACTACGTAAACTTTCGTTAGGAGATATATTTTCAAGTTGTCATTTGACTAAATAGCCCCCTTTAACCTGTTATTCCTGTGTATAGAACGTTGTGTCCTTACTTTCAATGTCCTGGTAAAGTTACTTCCTGTAGTGGTGAACAATGTATCAAAACTCTCTACAATTCATAGCTAACTGAGCTTGTAAATCAAAATGAATATAAATACATCTGTAGTCCAACTCATCAGTGATCTCTGTACAGGTATACACACATCCTCGATATCCCAGGGGTTACGCTCTCTTTAGTTCTATGCACCCCTGGAATATATCATAGCAAAATTTAAGGCCAGCAGCTAGCTATTTGATGGGTCTCCAATTTAAAAACCTGACCAATCGCTAGGCTGATACCTGTCCTTCAAAGATACAGAGGCGAGACACTTGACTTCAAAGCCAGTCAATGAAACGTTATGTTCAGACTAGTCTTCTTGTCTCACCCACAAGGCATATAGTGCACACTGAGCCTTCAATTTTGCTATGACATATTCCAGGGGTGCAGAGAGCAAAAGTGAGAGTATAGAGGATCTTGGGGTTATGTCGTCATGATATGACATGAAATTAATGCAGGTCAGCTTGAAGACCATTCCGAGAAATGGGGGGTGTTAAAGTTGGGGACTTCGTTGTGATATTTTGTAAAATCAACGTAGCCGATGGTGGATTATGTCAAAGCAACAAGATTGTGATACATGCAGGTTTTTTTAACTTTATTTACTTTCTTAATACTGGTGGCTGTAGGTTTTCATTGTTTAGCTATTTTAAATCTTATTTAATGCTGTCATCTTGATTAAACTTCTTTTTCTTCTATCATCTACTTTCTGCGGTATTTGCAATGCTCGTACTGTCTGTTGTCCCATATGATAAAAAAAATGACAATGTCAATCGAACCGCGGATTCGTCGAATACCATGTATTCCTCACACTATTGATCTGGACCCCACGAGTTCGTGTTAGCGGGGTTTTACTGTACAGTGATCAGAAACTACATGCACCATGCACAAATTGTTATCATTCTTTAAATTGAGCACATACTGATAGAAATTATCTACGGGTGAGCCATGTCAACTCATTTAAGTTTGCACACTTTAATAGATGACAATGTTACACTAAAATTGTCTTTCCCTTCACGAAATATATTCGTAATGTTGACAGGAATAAACCTAATACTGCCTTTAACAGCACTCACCTGTCTTTGATTTCAAATAGGTTTCCAAAATGTCAACCAATGCCAATGCACTTTCTGCCTCTTGGTTCGAGTAACACCCCTCCTGTAATAAATCAAATGGAAGGCTTAAATGATGCAGCATCTCAGAAAACTATCACCATGTAAGGTTGGACATGTATGTACATTTTTTTATCCTACTTTTATCTTCTGACATTTTGTGAGATAGCAGCTTTTAAATATATAATTTATAACTCAAACAAAATAGAATGTCTAACTTTTTGTCTATACATTTGAAAAACATCTCTTCAATGATGCCTTTAAATCGAATGCAATGGACTACACAGTATTATCATGTGCATATTTTGTTGTTGTTTCATTAGATATTATGGTATACAGCTGGCAAATGTACTGTCTAGATCGGTTACCTGTATATGAAAAGCTGTACTGGGATTGTTAATTCAACAAAGATAGCAATAATATAAGAAAACAAAGATCCGAATTCATGCATTTGTGATCAAATCACAGTTGATGAAAATGATAACTAAAACTGTCTTCGATCAAGTTCGCAATTCAGGGCAACTTGATCCAGGACTAACAAGAAGATGCTGTCATCGATATCTCTCCCGCTCGCAGTGCCAGAGTCTTTAAAAATATGTAGGGTAATTATATGAAGGTCAAAATCAGCATCCACAATATGCATTCAATGATCATGAACAACCCTAGATACACAATTGATGCAAGTTTAATCAACATTGCACTTGTAGTAGGCAAGATACAGATGAGAGCAATTCTTTACCTGCAGAGGCATGGACAGATGGATGTGCGACGGACCCCATTTCTGTATCCCCGCCAATTCGTTGAACGGGGGGTAATGATAAAGATTCAACCTTGTGATTAATACTATAAATCACCTGAACAATGTTTCACTGCTGATTTTAAGGAGATTTTTCCATTTCCTGTATTTTGTGAAATATAAGGCCAAAAAAACCCAGTATGTTTCAGGTACCCCATAGCTATTTCATAGACAGGTATCAAACCAAATTTAAATCACATATTATTTAAAACACCAAAAAATAGTATAAACAAGAGGCCCAGTATCGCTCACATGTTAGCAAAATTAAAGTGATAATAGCCAGGTGTTACTGGAAGTGTACATGTATTACATGGTTAGTCAGGGGTTATATTTATATGCAATTGGACAAAATCTGGTCATTCCTAAAGTAAATGGAGGATTTCGTAGAATTTGCAATGTTTCCCCTATAGGGCCCCGCCCTGGGGGTCAGACCCATCGTTGATACAAAATTATGTCCCCTTCACCCAAGGATGCTTTAGACCAAATATGGACATAATCCTGTCATAAAAATTTAATCAAAATCCTGTCATTCCTACAGAAAAAGAAGGATTTTGAAAAATTTGCTATGTTTCCCCTATTGGGCCCCGCCCCTCAGGCCCAAAGGGGTTCAAACCCACCATGTATACAAAACTAATTAACCTTCCTAATAGAATGCTTCAGTTCAAATTTGGTCAAAATACCTTCATCCCAACGGAAGGATATTAAACCTATTCCTCTATATCTCTTATTGGGCCCTGCCTCTCTGCCCTCAGGGGGGTCAGACCCACCATTCATACAAAATTGGTTCCCCTTCACCCAAGGGTGCTTCATAATAAATTTGGACAAATCCTGTCATTCCTACAGAAAAAAAAAGGATTTTGAAGAATTTGCTGTTTCCCCTATTGGGTCACACTCCTCTGCCCCAGGGGGCGACATTCACTGTTTATACAAAATTGAGTGCCCTTGGCCGAAGGTAACTCCAGACTAAATTAGAATAAAATCCCTTTATCCCTACGATAGGAGAAAAATTTTAAAGGTTTAAGCACTATTTCTCCTATTGGGCCACGCCCCTCTGCCCCCAGGAGGGCTACACCCACCATTTATACTTATTGAGTCCCCTTGGCCCAAGGATGCTCCAGACGAAATTAGAATAAAATCCCTTAACCCTTTAACCCCTATGTAACTTAAGTAGACTCTACCATGTATTGATATGGATGAATCCATTATGGTCTACAGTGGTGAAAGGGTTAATACCTACGGTAGAGGGATTTTAAAGGTTTTACCACTATTGGGCCCCACCCCTCTGCCCCCAGGTGGGCCACACCCACCATTTATACAAAATAAAGTCCCCTTGGCCCAAGGATACTCCAGTCTAAATAAGAATAAAATCCCTCAATCTCTACGATAGGAGAAGGATTTTAAAGCTTTTACCTCTATTTCCTTATTGGGCCCGCCTCTCTGCCCCAAGGGGTGCCACACCCACTATTTAAACAAAATTAAGTCCCCTTGGCCCAAGGATGATCCTGACTAAATTAGAATAAAATCCCTTAAACCTTACGGTAGAAGAAGGATTTTTAAGGTTTACCTATATTTACCTTATTGGGCCCCACCCCTCTGGCCCCAGGGGGCCACACCCACTATTTATACAAAATTGAGTCCCTTGGCCTTAGGATGTTCTAGACCAAAACTAGTCAAAATCTACTTGGCTGTTCAGGACTAGTAGCGTTTTAAAGGAAAAGTTGACAGACGGACGACGGACGCTGCAGTATGGCATAAGCTCACCATGGTCCTTCGGACCAGGTGAGCTAAAAATGTTACTGAAACCTTAATTTCTTTTTGCCTAAACAACATGCATTTGCAGGTACAGTTAATATACAGTTAACTATGCTTTAGTACTTACCTCTTGACTATTGTCCTTGCATAATGGTAGCTGGACAAAACCTGTAAAATGTATAAATAAAAGATGTATCAATTCCATTAAATTGAAGCTTCCAAAAAGGCTTTTGTGTACTTTTAATTTTTCCTCTGAACCCATTAATTTTTTTAACAAAAAAAATATACCATTGATTAATGGTAGAATTATTTTTCAGTTACAGAACATGTCTTAGGCCATTAATAATGAAATATTAGATTGCCTAAAACCTGACCTGGGATTCTAAATTAGAGTAGGTAGGGAAAACATATCTTGTGTTACAAATGACTTTTTTCGTAATAGAACAGAGTTTTGATGGGTCATATACCCAATGTTTAAAAGATGCATGTAAACTTTTCCAACATTTAGCTTTGGCTGAGTTAATAAACAACAAAATCTAAATAGGGATTTTAACTTTGGATTGATAGGTAGAGAATATTTTCTTATTTTTGATATTTATGATTTTAAATGATCTCTCCAAAATATTTTTTTCAGAATTGTTGTATACTTTGACATTGATAATGTACACGGTTAGGCACTACCAAACTTTCTTACCATTTTCATCAGTAATGCTGAAGACACCACTGATTCCGTGAAGGAGATCACTTCGCATATAAATATATAACATTCCCAGGGAGGCAAAGAATACTGCCACAATAATGAGAATCAATGTGGAAACATAACTTGCGACTTGTGGTTTCATTTTTTGTGAATCTTCATGTGTTTTGAAACCATATTGTCTAATTTCTTCCTCCGTAAAAGAATTTACATGATTTGTTGTTTTGCTACTCTTTTTTGTTTGCGATGTAGTTGTTTTACTAGAGTTATTCTTGGTGACTTCATGTCGATTACGAAGTCTGTTTGAAAATCTAGTATTGTAGTCTCTGGTGTCATTCACAAATTCCTCCTCATCTGCATCATCGTCCTCTTCCTCCTCATTTCTTGTTGCACTGTCAGCGACAGGAAATGTTGTGTTCATCGACTGGTTAACTACCTCATACATACTTTCTTCAGCGTCGGTGTCCGAGAAGTCACCTTTGAAATCATACGAATCCTCTTCATCTTGAGCATTTCTTTGGTTCTTCCATCCTTTTGCTTTGGAGTTGGAGCTTGTGTTTGCAGTGTCCGAGAAAGGGGTGAGATCGGGGTATAATCTAGATGCACCTGATGGACCCGGTGTGTTCGACAGCGAGTTGTTAACGACATGCTGATCTTTAGCACTGGTTATGCTTCGTCGAGATCTGAAATTTGTTCTTTTTGTACTAGGCGACATTTCTATAGTATCTGTAGTACTAGAGTATGCGGATGTGTTCTGTCTAAGGGGTTTCCTACCCGGCAATCGACTTGCAGTAGTTGGCGCCGCAACGTCTTCAATTTCGCTTTCATCTTCGGAACTGAACTCCACGTTCTGTTTTTTACGTGAATTTGTTGTCTTTTTCAGCTTGTTTGCAATATTTTCTCGTGCCCTTAGATGGTTTAGTTTCTTGACTAATATGGGCCTCTTCTTTCTGTCGATAGGTTGTTTTACTTCTTCTCCTAATCGACTCAATTCTTCCACAAGTTCAATATCCGACAACTTGTCCGCCATGACTGCGGTAAGTAACCGGAAACAGGAAAAGGATATTTTGACCTGCGCAGAGAAAATGAGGTCGGGCACTCTCTTCCTATTTCGCGGGAAAAGTTAGAAATTCGAAATAGAACGATACGCTACCTTACGCCTCTTTTAGGTACTGTTAATCTGCGCAATTTACTACTTCTCAGTATTGAAAAGAAGAAGTGCTGTTTAGAACTACGTATCCCCCATCCCCTGCTAATATTGTATTGAATATGACAATTTATCATATTCATTAATTAAACACATAAACACCCTGACACTTAAACTATAAAATATACATGCCCCAAGTCAGGAACCGTTACATTAGTGCATTTCTCATTTATTTTAGTTTTTTTAGCAAAAAAAAAGTCCAAAAAATACATTTCATTCTACGCCCCATTTTTCAAATATCCTAGAAACGCCCATGAGAACTGTCCAGGGAATAGGCCTAATCGTGCGCTTTGCTAAAAACATGTACATGGAATGACCTTTGGGGGAATGTTATAGTGGGATTAGCCTGCATAGACATTAGAAGCTACCCTTATGATGTTCTTTGTTTTATTAGCTAATAGTGGAGAGTCATTCACTCAGTTATGAAAAATAAGCCAATCAGAAGGGCGGAGATGATGTTCGTTCACACAATGACTAGTGAATAAATGAAATTCCCTACCCGAGGTTTGTTTGAATACCCTCTGGAATTTTTTTTGTAGAGTGAACATTGGAGTGACGTCACATAAATGACCAGCATTAACCAATCGTTTTATAAAGTTAGTTTGACCACGGACTCTGTGGTTTAATTCTGAACGCAGGCATATGTGTCTACATATCAATAAGTGCCGTGGAACTATGATGCACGATCATGCCGCGGGAAGATGACGTCGCAAAGTAGTGAGTATTCATGACGTCATAATTAGAAGATTTCGGGGTGTTAACACCTAATGGATGACTCGAAATTGTTTGCGAATTCCTAGCACGTTTATCCAATGAGTCGGAAGCCTAGATAGTGGCGGTGGTAGAAAGATAGATCCCAATACCAATTAACATGTGTTGAACAATGACGCTGGGGACCGGAAATGACATAATTCAGGAGTACACCATTAGACAAAACTAAAAACGAAATACCAAATGGCTGTAAAACATGTTTGACTGTGATGTTAAAGCTCATTACCCATAACTTTATTTCATATGTTGAACTTTGACCCTCAAGCGTGATCCCAAATTTTAATTTTCCTGGGTTGTTTCCTTCAACTATTATTATTTTCTAAACCATATTCAGAGGAGACTTCATTTTATTGAAACCCTGTTAAGATAAAGTGCATCTTCTTATTGAATTTTCGCAACAACGGATTTTAAGCAAAAAAAAAAAAACATGAGTGCTTTAGGTGTGACACCTAAGATGTTCCTGCGGACCCTACAAAGTGTATCATTAGTCAGGTTAAGGTCACAGCTTCTTTTCAAAATGTAGCTTATTCCGATTCTTGCAGTCTCACCCTATTCTTGACAAATGAATAGCCATTGTAATGTGTGAAATTGTATTGTAAAATTATATTTGAAGCATAATACTGATCCATGAAAATTGAAAATTTAAATTTAAATGAAGTTATTTGCCTACCGACCTTCCCTATTTTTTCAGGCATGTTACCCGAAACACATGTTTTTTTTTGGGCCTTACAACAATGTTAATTTCATTTTAAAAAGTGTGTGTGTGTTGGGGGGGGGGGGGGGGGGGGAACTTCAGGTAATGCATTCGGTAAATATAGAATATAAGACATCATTGTTACTATCGTCTAATTATCTATTTTGAAAATAGACATTTTACTCTTTAATGCATTATTAAAACCTTTTAACATCATTATTTTCATATTAAAACCCTTATGTGCTTATAGCTTCCGCATTTCTTGATCAAGACTACAATGTCAGAAATATGGAATAAAAAAACTCCTTCCCTGTTTATAAATAGACGTTCATAACGTTCTAGTGCGAAGACCGTTGTTGTTTTTATCCCGCGAGAAATCGATTACCAGTGATTTCCCGCTATTTTTCTGACACAATTTAATCGCCAGTTCCAGCGTCCTGCAACAATACCACTATGTAATACCGACTGTGTAATGTTAAATATTGGTCTTGGCTGTTTAATGTATATAACCTACAAACAAGGGGTATGAGTCATCCTTTCCGCGAGCTCTGGCGCTGTTACAGCGTTAGGGAAAGAGACATGCTTCTATGTGTTCCGGAGAAACTCCGGGAACGGAGCCTGGAAATTACTAATAAATTATAGAAATTAGCTCATGCATGAGTCATCGTACGTGAACAGTGCTAACCACGTAACAAAGTGTACATGTTGTATATTTCGATGACAATGGACTAAGGATTATTATATTCGATGACAGCGACTGTTTCCGAGGATTTGGCTGACGAAGACTTGATCCGAGTTGAATCAAGCTGGAAAATGATCATGGGTAGTTTGGAAACGGTGCGTGACAGAGCGATCTCACTTCTAACTTTTTTTGTACGGAAAAGGCCACAGTAAGGAATGCGTTGTAAGGGAGAATGCTAATATGTACATAGATTATGTAAGGAGGGCAACACGAACTACTTATGGTGCATACTAATAGAACACGTATTATAGTTTTTACTTAACATGACATCATCAGGGAAGCTCATTTTTTAAACAGGTCCGCGCAACGCCTGGCAAGTATATATAACGATATAACGATATCATTTTTTTTTTTTTTTTTTTAAACTCCAGTTTCTTACTATTTTTGTTTTTCTTAGTGTAACATATCGACTTCAGTCTAATTTATTGATTCATTCTTTACTTATCGTTCATCTGACAGCAATGTTCTTAATATAGAAAAAATACTGTTTTTAATGATTTGTCTAGTTTAATTTTTTTTTCTTTTTTTTTTCTTCTAGATATCCAAGTGCCATCGTGCACTGGACAATCACTTGACCATTGGGGTCCGTCTACAGCCATTGACCACATCCAAAATGACCACATGTAATGTATTAAGAAGGTAAGTATAAACTGTAACCAGATTCTGAAATACAGGACTAGTTAAAAAAAAGCACCACTGGAAAAGAAAAGAAAAAAAGGAAAAAAGTTGCATCACTAGAAAATAAAAAAATAATAACAAAAAACAACACCGGATTAGTATAAAAATGATAATCTAAAAAATAAAAAAATAAATTTGTATTAATTGTATTACTGAGTCCATATCACCAGATCATCTATCAAAATCTTATACATTTTTTAAAATTCCGTTTTAATAAATTAATGCACTTTTTTCAAATTAACTTCAAATGAATTTCAATGGTAATGCCGGGAGCTATGTATAATGAGATACCAAACACAGTCACAGACATATTTAAATATTTTGTATTTCTAGTTATATTTCAATATTGAGATAAATGAAAACAAAATTCAATCTTTTCAACATTATGTATAGTGATTTCAAATCACTGCCTAATATTGATATTATTTGTATTCAGAAAAATCACATTGAATTTCGGGAGTGACATTCATTTAATCTTCAAATTTTCTTAAAATCCTTTAGACTTTCTATTTATTTTCGTTCTATTTATTTAAGCTAAACATGGTCTCTTTTTTGATATGCATGGTTCTTCATCATAATTTCCAACTTGAAATCGTAAAAGTTCCTCAGTACAAAATTACTGATATCATTTATTCAAATTTGGCAGACGGGACTAAGAACAATATACACAAGTGTTCATGTCATTGTGTCCCAAAACCCCAGATATAGATAGTTGATAAGTGATGCTATTTTTTATGGATTTATTTATCGAAAATAAATAAGGAAAATATACATAATATATTTATAAAATGCGATTACACATTACGAATTGAAGCTTGTGTTGCAAGATCATTGACTTAATAAATACATTTAAGAACAGACTCGATAAACACTGGATTGATCAGGAACTTGGATATAATTACAAAGCCTACATAACGTGTTAAACGTGTGAGGTCCATACCCGAACAGTCATAAATGTGTACATGTATTTATATATCTAAAAAAAAAAACATGTTTGAGTCCGGTAAAGGGAATCATTTAGATCCTGTATCGGAAACTAAACTAAACTAAACTAAACTAAACTAAACTAAACTAAACTTAATATTTGGATAAAATAAAATTTCAAACATTGTGTTCATTTTTACTTTGATTGTAAATTGAAATTTCGGTTGTTTTTAACATGATTGAAATTGAGTAAAATTTCAACTCTATGCAACCATTTGAATACATAGTATTTCATATGTCATTGCTTACGTATGCTATTAATATCATATTTTGGATAGGATAAGAGATATACAAAGTTTGTAAAGAAACTTCAGAAATTATCATGCCCATCATTAGTGAAGAAATATGTTTATTTATTATTATTTATTTTTCATGTTAGGAAACACCGCATTGAATAACTTAAACATGCACAGTTTCTAGTTTTTAAATGTTAATTAATGCAAGTAAAAATATATATATTAACTTAGCTGTTGCGAGGACGTTAAACCAAAATATAAACAAATAAACAAATAAACAAACAAACACCAACTGTACATTTCGTGTTGGTACACTGGTAAATGAAAGACATTTGTAGTAGTAGACAACTTTTTTTATGATGTGCGCAGCTTTTTTACGGTTTTTTTTTTTGTAAAGATTTTGGAACACCCCGCGCGCCTTTTTTTGAACGACATTTTCGAAATGTCTATCTCACACCTTGCACGCAACAAAACTAATCCATTTTCGGACAAGATAATGTAAAATGTATATAGTCATCACAATACTGAACTCACGAGTAAAATTCCAAAATTATTCATAATAAACATCCAATAGATTATCAGTCTATATTTTAGAAAAGAAAAGCACAACTTTACTTGGGAAATGCAGTTTCACAATTGCTAATGGGAATTCATCGAAAATTTAGATTGAGACTAAATATTTATATTGTATTGAAGAACCCAGTGATTTCGTAATAGGCACATTTGTGT